AATATTGACAAGATAATAATTAATTATGCTCGTTATGTCTCTCTCGCTGATATTCCTGGACGGAAGTAGCTGTATGAGAATTCAAGAGATCAAGGAGCCCAGAGGGCACTAGGAGCACCAAGAGAGGATTAAATGGCACCTTACGAAGTATTGATCTTCCTGGCCGATGACACTCACGGTTTACATAAAGTCGTCAAGGATCGCGTTACAATTTTTTGAACATCCCCCGACGCAACAATTTTCGAGCAAGAATCTCCATTATTTATGTAGCACGTAGGTTAGACTTTAATTTTGACTCGCAATGAGAAGGTTTCACGTTTATTATGCTTCGTGGCGAAAAGTGGTCTTTGTCTTATATCCTTCTCAGCATTGTTTAGGATAATTGTGAAAATGGGCGCGAGTCGTGAGAAATTTCAAAAAATATTGTAAAACGCCATTTATGCTTGAGCGCAAAAAAAAACTTGGAACAACGATTTAAGCGCGTTAGCATAGAAATTTTGTAATATTTGTAACTATAATAAGTGGATATACATGCGATATGCATGAGATGAATCTCAGGGATAAATAGTCCTGCTGTCATTGTATTGAATTGTTGGCCATTCAGTCGAGCGAAGCGTGTTTAATTCAATTTTGACACTGAACGCCAAGATTTCCTGTCTGATTTGAAATTCGTGTCGAAGGGAGTTACAATTTTTAAAAGCCCACTATCTGGCGTGTGTTTATACTTTTTGGAACCGTATATTTACCGTTGTTGCCAACGATACGTAATAATGTAAAAACTAACCCGGATCTACCTAAGAAGACAAAGAACCATTTCAAGTAAATACACCTATAAAACCAGCAAGACCGTAGAGCCGAGGGAAATGGATGGGTATCAATTACGTGTTTGTTTCTTTTCCTATCCGCGCATTCAATAACTCAAAGGCCATAGAAAAAAAAACACCAAGAAAGAAAAAGGACGAAGAACTTGTACTAGCATGTGCAATCGTAAAGAATCTAATAAGGAAATACATACATAAAGAACGACGAAGAGTGATGGAAAGCAGGTAAGAAATATTTCCCAGGAAAAAGCCTTAAGCGGATGAAAAGACGCGGAGCTCCCATAAGGAGTGCCTCCCTCAGGAATAAGGTGTGCGTAGGTAGTAGACGGCATGGACAAGTTGGGAGGGATTGTACGCGCCAGAATAAAGGAAGGGTGCCAGTGCGGGTGCCCATGCAGCGCACGCAGAGAATCCAGAGGCAGCCGCAGGAAACGTCGGGGCATCGAACTCAGCTGGCCACGTGCGAGTCAAGAGAAGCGCACCTCGTGCCCACTCTTCCTCGTAAAGTCTAAAGAAAGTATATATGTATATATATATATGTATATAGTGGTATTGGCGTTGAAATTGGCGTCAGCTTCACAGACGATGGATAACAACGTCGATCCGGTAGAGTCACAACCGCGTGCGAATACGACACACAGAATCAGTCGGGATCGTAATACCGCTTCCTCATGGTGGCGGAGCTGACACTGTTAGGTTAGTTTCCCTGTCCAGTAGTCGCTGTAGTGGTGGAAGCGCTAGGCTTGACAGGGTGGGAAACTGACTAACTACTACTGATTGTGAGTGGGGGAACCAGGCGCACGTGGCTTCGATGAAATGTACGATGTTCCAGTATCCTTCGGCGTTGTGTTCAGTTGCACGGTAGTTATGTAGGCGAGGATACTGAACGTTACGATATTGTCAGACGGATGAGGTTAAGCAGAACCGTAGAGAATATGGAACTTTTCCACGTGACACTTTTTTTTTAATCATATCTAAGTCTAGATGCATTGTAGGTTACTCACGTGAGTTTATTCTTTTAGATAATAGAGTTTGAAGGAATGTTTGAGCTCGGTGAGAAATAATGCATTTGTCATTTACTAGTTTTTTATTTATAACAATATTGTCCGGGGAATTTTCGATTGAGTTTTAGAAACCAGTATTATATTCTGATTTGTTTTGACTGTTAATTACGCTGTCAGGGAACACGTGTTTAACGTGCACAAACTGGATGATCTTTGTGTAACTATTGATCTATTATGAATGTTAAGCATCGTGTTGTCCCGGTGACCTATGACCGACATAATGTTGTCGACGAATCACTGAATTTTGAAAGGAATCCTAAAACTCGTCCTAAAACACGTAACGATTTGAGAATATCTCTTGATATTTTTTTCTGCAAATATTATGTTTTATATATTAGATATGTATACTGTATATTTACGGGAAGAAGCTTGATTCTTGGCATCCACTTTCTTCTACTTTAAGCTTTTGCATTCTTCATGAGTATACTGCATAAGTGGTAATATATTATCTGTAGGTGCATATGCTGAAAATAATATTTAATTTGTAAGACTGTCCAATAATTTTTTTTTTAAATATTAGTTATTAATAAAAGCGTCAATCTTATGTAGACATCAAAGAAATTAAATCACGCTGGAGACAAAGAACACAAGTCGGAATCTTTTTAGGTTATTTCTACGGAAAAAAAAACAGCTCTGGTGCTTTTGAGTCCTGCAACACTTAGAAGAGCAATGGAAAACCTGTTATTGGCAACTCCTCCTAGACGTAGCAGTCTCAAAATAAATATGTGACTTCGCCATCTTAGCCACAAAGATTTGTAGGTGCGTTAACATATGAATATTATATACATATGCGTGATAGTGAAAATAGTTTCGATTCTCAGGAATATTTTTTTAATCCAGAAATCTCCAAAGATTTATAGACGTCATATTAATCCGTATGAATCCAGCCAAACTTTGAAAATCCGCAGAAATCAGACTGCAAGGAACTAGAAGAACATGACGATATTAAGTGAGTCATCAAAGTTTAATTTATTACCGAATTAATAAAATCGATCTCAAGAAGGGCGGGCCATCACCTGCAATTACTACTTAATATAAGCATCCGTAAGATTCCACTATCAATCTTCGTTTCCAACAAGGGGTCCCTGGAGCAGCCTGTTGAATCCAATTTTTCTGCGAGTCATGGAATTTCACGCGAATGCGTGAATGAATATTCGCTCACGCTTACTGAGTGCGGATGCCCACAAAGCTTCCAGGAATTTTCTCTAATGAACAAAAAACTCTTTTATTGCCCAATCAAACATTTACCAACTGGCAAAGCGCCATGACAGGAAAGTTTTACTGTACATCGAAGAAGTGAGCCACCCTGTAACAGTAGTGGGAACTATCTAGCATTAGTATTATAGCCAGCAGTATAAGTGGAATAGTTCACTAGCTGTCCAACCAGCTGGCGGGTAAAGCGAACGACGAATATGAAATAGACGAGCAGTTTCAACGAGTAAACTAGATGGCACGTGTACAGACACGTTACATTTAGAACGTGACACCACGCTCTTTTTCACTCGCGCATGTTTCAGCATTCTATGTCCATCTATCATAATACAGGGATACTACGATACCTAACTTGCGAGGATTTTAATCTTAGTTCACAAAGCCTGATCCTCGTAGCATTCAGTAATCGTCTTATTCACGAAATGTTCTCGTATTCAAAACAAAAGAAATACCTGTATTGGCCAAGCTCTGTAAAGTTCCACATACAATGGGTATGTGTATACATACAGCCTGCAGTTATACGAATGGCTGCTAGGCATTTTTAAGTTGCAAAACGTGGCAAGAACACGGTTTTGTACTCCTTAATCTGGATTGCGATCGAAAGGTTTCTCTCGCACGTGACGCGTGCGTCTCGTTCTCGTGGGCACGTGGAAAAGTCAAGCGAGGTGTGAGATTGTGACGGTTTGCTATTTGCTATAGGTTAGGCGATGACGCAGATAACATGGTACTTCTATGAAACAGGAGAAGGAACTAAGTGGGGATGACGCATTGGGGAATGGTCGGTAAAGTGGGGAAATTGAATGCAGTGGTGGGGGTCATTGTTAAGGAGTGGGAGACGCACACGTGCCTGGGTCGCGCGGTAAATCAGTCTTTCCAAGGGTAGATGCCATGTGTTCGACCTGACCCATAGTTTTCTCTATACACACTCTCACATGAAATGTAAATATAAGCCTTATGCAGAATGTATATTTATCTATAACTGATCGGTGGGATCAATTTTCATATGCAGGAGAACTATTTGTAAGTTTTATATCGGAAGATGATAAGACTCCAATTTGAAAATAATCTCATTCCGAGAACTTCATACTAACTTCCATCTGACTTTGATAATATGCGTGAGTATTTTTATGTCTCACTAACCTCCATTTTATATGCGAAATTATGTTTGCGAAATGGTTATTATTACAAAAGAGACACGTGTTCATTCCAGATACGCACTGCAGGGTTATACATACGTATTTACGATTTAAGAACTCCTGTCACGTGGGCAATTTAGTCATTCTCATGGGATACTAATACCGGTAGCTGGTCGCTTGCCTGGAATAACTGGATATAATTTATTTAGTGATGGACCTTAAGCGAATTACATTGCATGTACAAGATATTTAAGGAGTCCATTGGTGATTCTAAAAATGTATCTGTATATATATATACACATTTCGTGGAATCCGATTAATAATTATACCTCTTTATGGACTACGAAATATGTTGGATATAGCGTTGCCTCCAAATTCTACGACGTGAACTAGTTATATTGAATTTTTGAGTTAACAACTTCTGGGAGACCCAGTATATTAATGTCCAACCAATGTTTCGCAAGCCGTCCAATCTCTGATCTGTAATCATAATACCTGACACAAGTGACGTGTTCAAATGATTTATTTAGGGCTCTTCGAAAATTGAGTGAAAATTAATCTTCACGTTTCCTCCGTCTTTCACGGATTAACAATATATTACATATAATTACATTGCTCAAAAGATATATATATATATATATATATATATATATAATCGTATAATAAATTGAAACTTAATTTTTATTAAAGTTATTTACATAACGATTTATTACGCATAGGCGGACCTCGATATCAAAATAAATTGAAGAAATCCCGTGACGTCCAGCGTCCCTGTGTGGTCAATAATATTAATTAGTGCAAGTAAACTAATCGAAGCGTCAATTGCACACCGCAATTACACTGGCAGGTAATTGCATGGAACTTTTCAACAGTACAATGACATCTGCGAGCAACGAATTTGATGTTGTAACCAAGTCAGAAATAAATTCATTAGGTGCGACTTGCTTAATGACAACTAGGTTAATGACCAGTCTGTACAAATAACGATGACGAACAAAGTAACTTTTGACAATTGTCATTATAGTCGTTGAAAGGTAATGACGCCGTGTCGATTCCTCGTATTTTGCGATCAGTGTCTAAGGAGTCATCGTACCCAGTGTAAACCCCAGAAGAGAGTATTCGCGCGACATTAAATCACAGCGAAGGTGATAGTCGTTCTCGCGTGCAAGCACTATCTAATCAAAAGGGCTACGGAGATTTATACAGGAAAACGCGTCGAGCGGCGAACAAGATGTTCTGCACGTGTGCCCACGCTGTTCAAGGCCGTCGTCGTCGGGCCTCCCCTCTACTCCGCCTCGCCCTTATCATCACTCTCGACTCTCTGCGTCAGTCGCTCGATCCCCCGGCATCTCTCTTTGCTTGTTTCTCACTCTCTCACCAGTCTCTGTCTTTCCCTCGCTCTTGCTCTATCTCACTCTCACTCTTTCGCGTGGCTCGACTCTCTTGAAAATCCCGCGATCCAAACCCCTTGCTCGTCAGTCGAACTTTCCCTACCCGGAACTACCCCTGGGGCAATCGTTTATGACCCAGCTGCCTCCCCTATTGGTTATTACGGCAGCCAGTACGTCGAACACCCGGGGATCTCTACCTTCAGTCTTTCTTTACATCTTCCATTCTCTCTATCGCTCTCGTGCCTTTTTAGTATTCATATACTTTTTCTCTGTCGAAGTTTCAACGAATTCTCATAGATGGCTCTATGCTTTTGGGTTTCTACTCGTTTACGTATGCAAAGTGATTGGATTTGATCCTCATCGATTGCCTTTGCGAACTTTAGTAACCATCCTTATTTCCCAGCTACAAAGGTACCTTGTTCCTTGTTCGCTCGTCAAGTGTCAACGATTTCGCACAGGTTGTCATTTGTTCCTGTTACGGTTGTCAAACGCTCGTTGCGCAATATGATGGTTTCACGTGTGACGTTGCTAAGCAATTTCATGAAATTCTCTTGATGCTTGTTACTCGTGAGACATTCGCGTTAACGCAGAGTCATGAGTTTATCTCTGCTTTTTACTGCCCTCGTGTTCCTCTTATATCATTATTTACGGCAACGATTACTTCCTACAGAATATTACCGTGCCATTTTTCTTCAAATCATGACGACCCTTGTCGATTTTATACAAATTTTAAATTCGTACAGTATACGGCATCATTTTAATATGGTACTGTATGGTACGTTAATCCTCGTTGTTTCGGACGCAGGGAATCGAAGCACAATATATTTGCAACCCTCGAAACAAAAGTCGAGGGCTGACAATCGAGCGCAATCGGGCAACCATGTCGCTAGATTTTCAGTTACCACGAGCGATATACACGGTGGGCCTAAAGTAAGTAGTAATTATGGATCTTATCTCGAGGACAGGTATTATTTATTTATTCATGTATTCTATCGCAGTTGCCATGTCACTATTGCATGTAAGCGATTTGACGTGCTTTGAAAATGCATATCGACCACTGCACACATTGCATTTTCATGTTATTTTATCAACAAGGCGAATCAATAAATTATATTAAATGATTTGTTCATTTACTATGTATATACATACATATATCTTTGACAAGGCTATTTTTTTCAAAAATGCATTGAAGCTATTAAAATAAATTGTTTACTCGTAACATTCTGTATTCTTCAATTCACATTATTCTATAACTCTGCAATTCTTCTTTAATCTGGACTTTCGAGGATTACTTTTAGAACTTACAAAAAGCAACATCGCTTATCCTGTTACATGACATAGTCGACACGGTCCCATTGATTTTTAGGTTAGTATAAGTAGCACGTCGTGCATTCGTTCACCCTATTATCTATATAAAATTAATTATCTATGCAAAGTGCGCTTATAAATTAATTAGACCGTCGCCGAGCATCGTCCGATTCTTTTTTCCTTACGTTCAAAAAAAGATTTAAACTCTATTCGACGTCGCTGGTATTGTCACGGTCATTGATTATTCGATAGATCATAAGCGCGAGGATCTGCATTTATGTGACAATGACATGTGGCATATGTTTCAATAAGCTTATGTTTCTTTCTTTGTTACAGAAATATGGCACCGACCATCTGCTTGGCAGAAATACCTATGCCGAAAATCGCCTCGAATCCTTATGCTCATCGGCGTCAAAAGATTCATAACAGCGGTGTCATAAAGCAACAGAAACTTGAAATCGTACAGATGCTCAACGTCGCCACTGATGACTTGTCCCTTTCATCCTCAGAAAGTTCTCTTTGGAAAGCTGGTTGTCCTACCAATTCGTGTGTACCTGCTATTGGTTCCTCGTCCAACACTGCCGCTAAAGTTCCTGTCGATCTTCACGAACATTGGAGAAACATCCTGATACGTCGAGAAGGTACAATTTATTAGTATTGAAACATATATGGTAGCATCTATTAAAATCAATTATTTATTAACAATAATTACATTTATCTTTTCAGGTCTACTTAATATTGTTTCAAGAACAATGGCTCTTGTACGACGCAATCATATCCTTCAAAAAAGGATAAACGCTCTGCGGATGGAAACACGTGATTTTATTCGTTCCGTATTGGGAAATCCGAAGAACAAAAGTGTACAGGAAGATGATTCGACCACAAGAATCAAGAAAGAAATGGATCTAGATTGTGAGAAGGAAGTGACTCAGATGAAGGATTCTATTGTTTCTTCGTCCAGTGAAGACACGTGCGAAACTTTCTGCTTCTCTCCATCTAGTCCGGATTCGACCAGCTCCTTAGAAAATTGTGTTACATCCGGCAGTTGTGTTTCTATGGACGTCGACAGTGATTCCTTAGACGATCCAGATGCGATTGATGATTCAGTTCTGTAGAGTCAATAGTCATTAGAAATTATTGTCTGTTGATTTTACTATTTTGTATGCCGAACTGCAGTCTTCACGAACAACTCGCGATATGAAGTCCAGTAAAATTGAGAATGAAGAAGAATGTAGCTGAAATTTATGCGGTATCCACATCAGGAGAAGATATTGGACCCAGTTTTTTTCATTTTTAAACTTGAATTTGACTACCGTATTAATTCACTCCAGTCGTAGAAATAAAAAAGAAGAAAGACAGTTCTAAATAATGCAGGGTTAAATTTATATCCTGATTAGGTATAAATTCCCTTCATCTTGAGACATGTCTTAATATAATAGAGTTGCGTAAGAGAAATGACAGTCTATATACGCACGCTTTTATATTTCATTCTGAGTGTATAGCTTCGTGTTTTGGCGTACCGAATTATTCGGAAGAACTTTTTCAAATTCATTAGTTTTTTGTTCAAAACGTGGGAAAGTCGAGGATCAACATAACGTATAGTTCAATAATAGCATATAGTTGATACTATGCGTAGTGGTTATGTAAGAGTGATTCAGTTTATTATTATTAAATACATCGTATATACCCAACGCATTAACTGTGAAAAAATCTTGAATGACTTGAAAAGAACAAGACATTTTCTGCGTGTAAACGTCAAGTAAGCTTTCTCCTTAAATGGCTAAAATATAAGTGGATCTTCTCATTCACGACTGAGGAAACCGACTGAGAGTGGCTGTTTCTAATAACTCACTTTGTCGTTTAAGTTCTCATCAAGAGTCATTGAAATGATATCATGAGTATATGATAAGGATTGCGAAGTCATCGATCATTCATAACGTTTACATTGCCAAAGTGAGATCTATCGTGGGTTATTACGGATATGAAATCCGTAATTGAACAGATAAAGATTAAAAAAAGAGAAATATTTTATTCAGCAGAGAGTAATAAAGTCTGCTTTGTTCAGCGCCGTTTTTCAAGTATACAAAGTAATTTCCAAAAATTGCCCGAGTACAGGACACAGTCCTATTTCATTTTTAATAAAATAAATTTGTCATATTATATATGATTCACTTGCCATAATATTTGTACATACGTAATATTCTAATATCTTTCTGTGAAACGCTGTAGGATATAAGTAGCAGACCTATTTATATGTCGTACCATTGGTAGCGACTTATTTCGACATGAATTTTTCATATATATCAATTGAAAAAGCAATGTAAATTCTATTATACCTCATAAATAACGTCTAGCTGTCTTATTGTGATCGTGTGATAATCATACATAGTATTTTTAGGGGCAAAACTATCAAATGATACTTGATTAGGCGTGTGATAATAAATGTATATCTCTTGAACGTGTTTTCGTTGCTTGATCGATCTACGGGTAGGTTTTGTACCTAACAATATGCAAAACAATTAACGTCTAATTTTTATAGCAATACAACTACGTGAAGTAGTTTCGAATAATTGTCTTTAGATATAGATGACAAGTGCAAAAATGATATCACAGCTTGTGGCAAGTTTTTTTAAATTTCATTCCGTGTAGACGCTATAGATATACTATTATCGCTTCTATACAAGATTTTATATAAAATCCAGTGAATATTGTAACGTTTGTTTTTGGTGCTTTCACTCCTATTCTCGTGATATTTTAACCAGTCAGCAATGATAGCGTAAGAAATGAAATTAGAATCTCATGGGTGAAGATTGACAGTCATCAAGAGATAAATTCACAGCAAGGAATTGAAATGCACTGATACCTTTTGAACTATGATAAAACATGTAAGTTAGGTTTATAAATAACAAACTTTGTGACTTTTGGCATATCAAATTGTTAAGCTCGACGGCGGCGGCAGGCTATTTTATAATAAAAGTCCAATAAGCATTTACATTGTGCGAAGAAACAACAAAACCAAATGCTAACGAAAAACACCACAGAATATATTCTAAACTTTAACGTGAGGGTATAATAGAATTTTTATGTGTCGCAGCCTTTGTGTGTCTTTATTATAATAATATTGTAAGCATAGTACCAATCAGCAGTACCTAATTCTTTAATTATTTTCGATTGTTCTCATTAGCTTTTTACATTTTTCTCAGTGATCTCGCGTTTCGGTTTATGCTTTATACCGATTAATCGGCTTATTCGGAACATTTACGAGTTTTATCCATGCCTCATTTATTTTTTGTTTCTTTTCTACTTTTCAGTTTCTTTAAAACAGTATTGCTGTGACATAATTGCACTTTATAAATTTTTGTGTAAGATCAAGCTCATGGATGAAATTTCACACGTTCATGCTTCTGAATGGAGTCATCAGTTGAGGTACAAGCAGAATGGGTTTTTTAATTGTGTGAGTACTAGGGTACATCCCTTTTGAATGCAAGAAATTATTTTGTATGGTTGACATGGTATAGTGACCTGCTTAATAAGAATTGTAAAGTATCCAAATAGGAGGGACCGAGTGTGTGTTTCGTAGTTATTAGACACAATCGAACTCAAATTTAAGCTCGATAATTTATTTATTTATTGTATTTCTTTGGAAAAAGATAGTCCTTGAAAGATTCAACATTCATTACCTTTATAGTATTATAATGATATCCGGATACTATTATATAAGGTAGATAATCATTTTAAACTGTAACATAGGTGAACAAATAAATACTTGACTAAACATTTATTCGTTTATTTGTATCCCTTTAACAATAGTTTTTATTATCTATATACATTGTGGCATACGAGATTTCCTTATAGAACAAGCGATAATATTTTTACAAATCAATTGCATCTTATATGAACCATTATTACTTTGAATAATGCTAATGGTCACATCATAAGAGGCAAAAACTGCCGACACAATTTTTTTAACATCTCCATTGAGTAAAGAGTGAAATCAATGTGCTTCTGGTGAGTGTGATAATAATACCACCAGAACCCAAAATTGCAGTAATGCCTGTACAAAGTTTAAATAAGATTGACATTTAATAGACGTTCATTAATCATATATGTATAATAAAACTACGTACCATGTAGAACAATACAAGAATTCGTGCTAACGGATATCTGCGTAAAAAGACGCCCGTTCTAACGCTAACAGCGTCTAACGATGAGTAAGCTCGTTTCACTCGTCTAGCAACCCCTGTGTCGAAAGGTGTTTCCATTAGAAACGTCGGTACTTGTGCTTTTGCGTCATCTGTGTCATTGACGCTATTGTATAATATACTTTTCCTCAAATTTCCGATAGCATTTCTGTGCTCGTGCTGAGGAAGAGAAATATTTTTTTCTAGGAACAAAGAGAATATCAAAGGCGCGACAAGGATTACACTTACCTCAATTTTTTCAAGCTGCAATCTCAATGCATTTCTTTCGGTTGTTAAATTTTCCAGAGCTTGTTGTTTCAACACTAATGTCTGTGTAAGAGATGAAAGTCGAGATTCTACTTCGCTATTTGGCGTAGATGCTGCCGATAATTGTGATCTGAGTCTAGCAATTTCTGTATCCTGTTTTTGTATTTTTGATGAAAGAATATTCTGCTGTTGTGCCAATTCCTCCTTTAGAGATCTGATTTCCTAATTCAATAATATAAGTAGGCTTGATTTCTTTGGTCAGTAATAAGTTTGGGTTAATTATTAGGGTTTCTAGTACGACATACCTCGGAATGTTGTCTTGCATCTTCCTCAGCATCTAATCTTCTACTTCTTTCCACAGAAACAATATCTTTCGCCTGTAGACTGGCTTCTGTTGTTTTTTGCCGAAGCTTTTCTAAATTGATCTCTGCGTTTATCAATTCTTCCCGTGCCAGTCGTAATTGTTCGCAGGTCTGTTGATTCTCTTCTCGCAATGTCTCGCGTTCCTGTCTAAGAATTCATATTACGTTTCAAGGACCTGTTCTTGTCATAGCTCATACTTCATAACAGTTAGGTCAATATCAATAATATTTGAAATTCTAAATGAATATTTTGCACACTACCTTAATTGATTTAATTCCATAATGGTTGCGTCATCTAATCCTGTAGTCGCATTTCCTCTTAATTCTGCTATCAATTTTTCTTTCTCTTGCAAAGTTTTCAATGCTCTTGCTCTATGCTGCTCCAGATCTGATCGTGTTGAATTCAATTCTGAACGAACTCTTTCAACAGTGCTTTGCAGATCTAATAATTGTTTCAAAAATTCTTCCCTCTCGATCTCCAGCGACCGTAAGTTTTTCTTCAATACATTTATTTCTTTTTGATGATCAGTCTGCTGTTTGCCAAGTAATTCATTTTTTTCTTTCAAATCTTTTTGAGTTGTTTTCAAATGATTCGTTAGATCTGCATCTTTGACTGATTTTATTAACTGATCCATTTCCAGTTTTTGTTGAGATAGTCTATACTCATATTCTTGACGTAAACTTTCAAGCTGGTGCTGTAACTCACTGCGTTCTAGAACAAGGATGTACTACTAAGTTTTCAATACATGAGATAATCATTATTAAAGATCATCTGTGAAGTCAAGATATTCTGTAATTATTACCGTTCTCAATGGCTTTTTCCCTGTTTAATGCAACTAGCAATTTACTGCATAAATTTTGCATTTCACTTTTCAGCGACAAGTTTTCCTTTTGCAGATCGATTTCTATTTCACCATTTGGTAAACTTTGGTCGAAATCAGATTCTGGGACTTCGACTGAAGTATGGGATAAGCTTGGACTGGTTCTTCCACTTCGAATAGATAATTCAGACACAGAGTCAGTATTATCTGAAGGATGTTCAACAATAATGGATGAAGAGTTTGATGGCGGTTTTATATGTTCCAAAGTAATATTCCTTTTTGGTGTTGTAGTTGGTGTATTTAAAAATGTGATGAGCTCCTCCTCTCTGTCTAGCTTTGATTTAATCGGTGTTAATGATCCAAGGTTCCCAGTAGAACGAATATAAGGAAAATGTTTTGGTGACTCCAAACTAGAATTCCCAGCATTTTTTGGAAGGCTAAAAAATTATATTGTTACAAATCAACTATCACAAATATGTGTAGTTATACAAAATAATAAAGTTAAATACCACACTTGTGGAGGCTCCCAAGTAACCTCTGTAAGCAATGGTTGAGGTTCTACATCGAGCCTATCCTTGTTTAATACAGCAGCTGTATTTTGATCAATTTTATTAAGAAGATTTTCAGCCTTCCCGGCCAGCCCCGAGAGCCAAGCCATCCTTTAAAACCTTGACGTTCCGTATAATTTCGATTAAAAATGAAAATTTGCTCCGTCAAATTGATGTTACCACCAGATGACACTGAACCGTATAGATTAACAAGTGGAAAAATTACAAGACACAAGTGAAATATTTCCAATCTATGTAACGTCAAAAACTTTCACCCACTTGCCATCTTGGATTAAATTTCGAAAGTTTCGTTGAATATTATAAAAATAATGTCCAAAGATATTTAAATCTGGTACTAAATCTTTATAAAAATGGACACATATTAGACTTTTTAAATTTCACAAGAAATATAGTAAATATAGTTTGACGCGTGTCATTTATGACACGGTAAGTATAATGGAGGACAGGTTTGTCTAGATCACCAAATCATTTTTGCGCAAGTTACGCAAAGCCCAAGTTGAAGTCATATATTTATAATAAACTTTTTATTTTTGACATATCCTTTAATAAAATAAATAATGCATATACATTATATTTGCCTGTGGAACAAGTGTTATTCGAATTGATTCAAAATATTAAAGAAGCATGAAAACGTGGACGATACCTTGAATGGAAACTGAATATAAGAAAATAAGAATAGTGCATAAATTGTTTGTATACTAAAAGAAATTTCTGTTTGTTTTTATAATAATCTTTAAACTAGTAGGACAATTTATGGCACTTTGAAATTTCAGATTGCTCTATGGGAAAAAAAGCAAGAAATTATGTTGAACATGGTTCGTTAAGGTTCCCGACAATGAAAGAAATAAGGAACGACATATGTATAAGATATAAGAAATAGTCTGTGTGTGGTTAATACAATTGGTTCACTCATTACTGCTGTTTCCGGTATAACGTCCATATAATTGGCCAAAGACAGAATTTCCTATTCCTTACATCTATTCTTACATTGTGTGCGAACCTTTAGATTGCCGCCACAGCTATTGTCCACTGTTGTCCTCCAATGATAGCTCGCAAGTGTGATGTTTGTGCTTGAAAACCGCGAGACAAAATATACAGGAGTGTCAGAAATTAAAGGTATACGCTTGATGAATTGTTTTTTATTATAAATTGTGCATTGACGGAAAATTTATACATGTGCTAATCGTTTATTAAGCCGCCGGTTTTCTTAGTAAAGCAAAGAGGGTATTCCGTGCTGCATATTCAGACGAAACTGCTTGTGACTTCTTTGTGAATATTTGTACACATGCAGTTAATATTCTCTTTGTAGTATTTTTTATCTTACTGCATTTCTTTGAGAAAATTAGTTATTATCTTTAAAATTCGTATTAATTGACAAATACGTATAAGAATGCAATATGGCGGTACGATGCTACTTTTTGGCATAACCTTAGCGTTCTGAATACTTTGCTTTTATTAATGATGATTTACAACAATAATTTCTCTATATCATTTTACAAATATTATAATGTAATTATACATCACTGGAATAATTTGTTTTATAATATTATTGGAATTAACATATATTCCATTAACTGGCGGTTCATATTTATCCAAAATGGCTACACATAACCAATAATCGTCGAGTATCTTTCTCGTATTTAAAAAGTTAAAAAAAGAATGACATTGCAGTCTGAATTTCAGTACTTGAATACGAAATGCATACTAATAATTTTCAAACTCTTCTGTCATAATATATTACATATTTTCTTTATATTGCTTATTTTATGTTTGAGAATCATCCGTGTAATCAGATTAGTTTTGTTTTGAAAAGCGTTTTTTATTATAATGAAGATTATGTATATTTATTATTTAACATATGCATTCTGTTATATATTTCTTACTATTTAACGTTTTTTTTCAGTCTCTTAGTTATGACTACAGTTATTTCTTCCTTGAAAGTGGACTCGTAGCAACAGATTGATCAAATTTTATAAAATGGAGCAAAATCTTGATGCACCTTCTTCCAATGCTGTTTCTATATTGGAAAGTGAATCCCATGATGGCAACAAGATAGAAACAAAAGATGCAAAGGAAAGTGTGCAAATATCGACAGAATCAGTGGTCGATAATTTGATGGAAGATGTTACTGAATTAATTCATCAAGATGTGGAAATGACAAATTCTGATACAAATCAGAATGCAAATAACCCAAATGTAACAGATATTAATGCAGAGGAAAATATTATTTCAAAAATTGTAGAAACAAAGAAACCTGAAGATGATGGCTCATGTTCGAAAGAAAATGATACTATATCTGATTTAAATTCAAATTCAAATTTAAACAATGAGGAGGTGCCTATGGATAATCCTTTATCGAAATTCACGCACGTGAATGTGGATCATTCAACATTAGACATAGCAGAATCGGAAAATTCTAATGCAGCTTTAGAAAAAGAGATTTCTCCAGTGGACAATTTGAATACGATGTCGGAAAGTTCAAGTTTGCACAAAGAACCAAGTGAGGATAATTCAAACAACATTCTAGAACCAAAGAATGATGAAGTCCAAGAACTCTTCGATTGTACTCTAGCCAAAGTTTTATCAGAACCTGAAACGGGAACATCTATCAGCGAAACTGTATCTGATAAAGAAGAAAAGACATTTTGTAATAATGAAAATAACTCTGAGATGGTTAGGTGTGAACGTTTGAGTGTAATTGATAGTTCTCGAATGATGATAGACACTTCAGATAGCAAAAAGGGAAATACAGTGGTGGACGGCGATTCAGATAGCCCTGAGAAGGAAAACGCATCTGAGAAGAATATAAACAAACTTGAAAATACAGAATTTGTGCAAATCTCTCAAGATAAGCATGATGATTCCCAAATAGAAGGTCAAGTGATAGATGCGGAGGATCCATTTGGTGGTGATAATTTAGCATCGGAAAATATTGAGCAAATAGAAACTGACAGCCTCACTGCAGGCGATGAGAACTTTCAAAAATTAGGCGATCAAGCTGATAATCTTCAGGATGTAGTCAATGCTAAGGACAGCTCTTTTAAAACTAACTTTAATACAAGTGGTAAGCAGCCTGAATCGCAAGACAGCGATAGTGAAAAAAATATACCGATTGTTGAATCACATTCAGAAAGCGATATAGTAGTTTCTCAATCAAAAGCTGACAATATTAATATAACCACGAATATGGAAGTAAACAATGAAAATTCTGAATCTTCATCTCTTAAGACTCATGATGATACAATACAGTCTTCACAAGTAGATAACTTAGATCAGGAATCTGGTAAGTCCAAGGATAAAAATGAAGAAGATGTAGAAATAAATGCCGTAAATGAACATTCAGATGTGTTGCCTGGCCAGGATGATGAATTGTGCATCATCCCAGACAGTATGAAAGTCATTCTTCCTAAAAAAATATCACAAAAAACTGACGAAGTAAATAAGAGCAACGATGAAAAGGTAACAACAGAGGATAATGAAGGTAAAATGGGATCAGGCTCATCTTCAGAAACAACATCAAGGGATACAAAGGAAATAGGGATCGATGATAACATTTGTGATACGGAAAAAGTAATGACTCCACATACTAAACAGATATCACCTGTACATAGAGCAGAGTCAACATCGGATGTAATAGATATTGATGAAGAGTCCAAAAATTCTGAAATTGAGGAAATCTCGACTAAGGAAAGATGTAAACAATGCAATGAGGAGCGTTCTTGCAAAATGAAAGTTAAAATCGGTCCAGAATGCTTTAATGTCTGTTCAAAGGCGTGCAAGTCTGCGTTTAAGACTGCCAATAACAAAGCCACAGATATCCCCAGTGAGGGTGCTTATTCAAAGCTTGAAAAACGTTGTGCAAATTGTCTACTGTTAATTGAACCAAACGATGAGCGTAATCTGTCTTGGGAAACAATGGAGTTTTGCAACGAAGAGTGTTTGGGCAAATTCCAAATGAATTATGGAAGCTACTGCAGAAATTGCAATGGCTCTGTGCAAGCAGTAAGCTTAGGAAAATATTGTGTGAGATTTGGATATGATGTCAGACAGTTTTGTTGTTCAACTTGCCTTGAAGAGTTTAAAAAGGGTCTTAAAGTCTGCAGCTACTGCCAAAAAGATATTAGTTCAGGACTCGAAGGTTTTTTGGCACCTGTAGGTGATAAAGGACAATTTAAAGATTTTTGTACTCAAGATTGTATGGAGAAATATTCTAGGATGAGCAGCACTGAACCACCCAGCACAGAAAAGAGAGCTTGTAGTGTTTGTCAGGAGGTAATATTATCTATTCTTCCTTAGATTATATTTAATTCATATTTTGTTAATGATTCTATAATTTGTAACAGGAAAAAGTTGTACACTGTGAAGTTCAACTAGATAGAGCCGAGCCAGTTGCAATATGCAGTGATCCTTGCTTCGCTGCATTCAAATTTGTAAACAAGGTGAATCCAGACCAATGTTCCACATGCAAAAAATTCTTTGAATTACCTAATAGGAAGACCTTTGTTGTGTTTTATGAGAACGAAGCACATACATTTTGCAACAAAACGTGTCTAAATATTTTCATCACCATGAACAGAAAAATTGTTCCTTGTAATTGGTGTAAAGTGAAGAAATACAATTTCGACATGATTAAAAAGGAACTAAAATCAGGTCAAGTGATGATGATGTGCAGTCTGAATTGCCTCACACTGTATCAGGTAAGACAATATATCAATCAAGTATACATAATACTCAATAATTTGATCAATTGTATATTATGATTTCATAAATAAACATAACGTCTCTATTATCTGTCACCAGGTGTCCATAAATGCAGTGTCAGCGCGTCGCATAAATTGTGATTTTTGTAAAGAATACTCGCAGGCTCAGTATCATTTGACAATGTCAGATGCAACGATTCGTAATTTTTGTTCTTACAACTGCGTTATGAATTTCCAAGGCCAGTACACAAAATCACCTATAACAATACCATCGAGCGATGATCCTGTACCAACTGGGATGCCAAAAAGGACAGTTCCTCAAAGGGCAGTTGTTCAGTCGTCTCAGAAAAATGACATACAAAATAAAAAGACGTTACCGGTAATATCGTCGGTGACTAGTTTAGCGTCTATGGGAAACGGGCAGCCTAGTCCGACCTCGCAACAATCGACAGTAAATAATGTTGGTGTACCAACTTCTGTTACGGTACAAAATCAAACCCAGCAAGTCATCTACAAGCAACAAATTATAACAAGACCTCCCAGTCCTGTAAAAATTCATAACAAAATAACTCAGTGCAAACCTCTGATGCATACCAAGGGTGTTTCGGTGCGTCCGCATCCTTGCACAAAATCAACGCAAACGGAAGAAATACAACGTGTTGTGATACCAATTCCCGTTCCTATTTACGTTCCATATCCAATGCATATGTATAGTATGCCTTATCCAGTACCTCTACCATTCCCATTACCGATTCCGGTTCCCATTTTTATTCCTACTACAAGAAACGGTGCAAAAGGTATTTTCAAAGATATCAAGAGGATACAGGAAAAGATCCCAGCGGATCCTTTTGAAGCTGAGTTACTTATGATGGCTGAAATGGTAGCTACTGAGAAGAAAGCAAATGAAAGTGACTCAGATTCAGCTGACGAAAACAGGTAATGTTGGCATTCAGGGTATTAGTTTATGAAATAAAATTGCACTAAAGATTGGTTTATATATGCATATTTTATTGGGGTATTACAAATTTAGATATTTATTTTTCTCCCACTTCTTAAACCCTTGTGTCATTATTTTGGGCCTTTCCCTTAATTTCATGATCTCTCAAACATCAAAAGAATCCATTTGTGTTCAGGGATCACGAAGATCAGGGAGGTGATCAAGGAAATTCACATAGTGATGGTTTCAGTCCAGAAGGAGTTGATTCCAGCAATACTTTTGGCGATGATATGTTGCAAATGGCATTGAAAATGGCGACTGGGGAATTGGACGAACCAGCAGTGGATTTAGAAGCTGCACTTACACCAAATACAATAACTGCCAGTCAAGCACCACAACAACCAGAAACTGCTATAGATAATGAAGGTTGGACGGTAGTTATATATGTATTTTTCTGAATAGCCATTTAAAAAATTCGTATAACGGCCCGTTATTGTTATACAGTTCAGCCGGAACGTCTAATCTCTGCGCCTCGTGGAAGGAAGAGAATGGTTCCATACAAACCACGATCTACGTCAAGTAAACGAGGCAGAAGAATATCTGGTACGAACGATATACCATTGATGCCGCCTCCAGAACCACAACCACCACCTCAACCACGAATTATGGAGCCTATTGAGAAACCAGACGCCAATATGGCTCTGAAATATACGTTTGGAGTAAATGCTTGGAGACAATGGGTACATAATATGTTTTACTAGATATTCAAGCAATAATCAAGGCACATAAGTTATGAATTCTCTAATACAATATTGCCTACATAGGTTGTTACTAAAAATACTGAGCTAGAGAAGCAAGGTACGCCGATGAGGAAAGTCAAATTGTTTAAAACCGACTTGCTACAATTAACAGCAGACGAATTGAATTATTCATTATGTTTATTTGTAAAAGAAGTTCGAAAACCTAATGGCGCAGAGTACGCGCCGGATACAATATATTATCTTTGCTTAGGTAATTTTTGTCTACTGTACATTATCATGTTTTAAGTTTTATAATATCTTAGACAAATTCAGCATTGCATTAGATACTGAATATTCATTGTTTTTTAGGAATACAACAATATCTTTTTGAAAACAACAGAATAGACAACATATTTACGGATTCGTATTATGAAAAGTTTACAGACTGTTTGAATGAAGTTGCAAAGAAGTTTTCTGTCCTCTACAATGATGCGCGTGAGTTAAAATATACAGCGCAAAAATTAAATGTAACAAACCATAATTCGTTAATTACTATTCTAAAACTCTTTTCAATCATAGAATATATTGTAACGAGGGTAGAAGAAGAACATCTTTGGGAATGTAAACAACTCGGAGCACACTCGCCTCATGTGCTGCTAAGTACACTCATGTTTTTCAATACAAAGCATTTCAATCTCGTAGTAAGTAAAATTCTAAGTCATTTTGTTTATCATATACAATATCGTTGCGTGGAATGATAACACAATTAAAACTCATTGAACATTTGTAGACAGTCGAAGAGCATATGCAGTTATCTTTTTCACACATAATGAAGCATTGGAAGAGAAATCCTGCTGCGCAACCAGCAGCGATTGCTGGAAAGGTTCCTGGTTCAAGAAATGTTCTTTTGCGTTTTTATCCACCACAGTCAGCATTAGGTATAGACTTAGTACAGTGATAAATTTAGTGCTGTCGACATTATTCATAAATTTTCCAATCAACTATGAGCACTAATTCATTTGTTCTTATAGAAGCAAATTCAAGAAAGAAGAAGGTGTACGAGCAGCAAGAAAATGAAGAAAATCCATTACGATGTCCTGTTAAACTGTATGAATTTTATTTGTCAAAATGGTAAGTATGTTTATGAAATAACTTTTGATTTACTATAATCTAACTGTAAATATCTTTTAATCGTGTACCACGCTTAGTAATATCATGCTTTATACAGGTTTTTATATTTATAAAATGTATATTTTGATGTAATTCAGTTATTTTTCTTTATAGCCCAGAGAGCGTTAAAACGCGTAACGACGTATTTTATCTATTACCGGAAAGAAGTTGTGTACCGGATAGTCCAGTTTGGTATTCGACGTCACCACTTGCCAAGGAACATCTCATTAAAATGCTTTACCGCGTAAAAATGGTGAAGGAAATCAACGTAGCTCTATTAACCAGTTAACTCCGCCCAGATGATTATGTTTTCTAAAAACTCATTAACACAGTCTACTGACATAATATATCTTGTAACTATTCTTTGCTTGTAAAAGCACTTTTCATTCGTCATGTTTAAAGGACAGTCAGGAGGGAGATTGTAGAATATATCAATATGACGAAAATTCGTTTTCCGACAGTTTCTGGCCTCTTGACAAATATTTGCCAGTCAAATTTATTAATACTATTAGAATGTTACTGAATTTGTACGTTCCCGTTCAAAATATTATTTGTCTGAATTACTTTTTTCTTTAATGCGCGTTTTATTGTGTATTACTTGGAAGTACTTTTAAAAGCGGAGTATAACTAAGTAAGATTGGATCTTGTTGAAATACCCGTTTATCGTGTCTTACTGTTCCAAAAGACATACAGAAACTATAGGCCATATAATGGTGAAAAGTAAAAAAGAAACAGATCACGCGTTGATTCTTTGTTGTATATTTTTTACTTTTAATAAAAATAGTTCGACTCAATATGAAATGCTAGTTGGAGAAATGCTCTGCGACAGCTATCATTAGTTAACTCATAAGATGACTTGTAAAATAATATTGAAAAATCAGGATGATAATCTGCATCTTACAACGTCAAATTTCTTTCTTTCTCCTGTCTATTGATATCCTTGCTGTTTCTATCTTTTAATGAACATGATTTTTTCTATATGTATTATTGGGTTTGTTCAAACTTATAAAAATATTTGTATACATTACCTCATTCGAAAAGAATGTTTCACATTGGTCATGACGATAGATTGTAAGAGTTTTATTCTACGATAGAGTGCAAACCGCGTGATATAATGCAACATTCGATTTATGAAAAGCAGGTGAATCGTGCGATAAGTGAACGGTGTAAATACAATAAATAATAGTTCCATCTCACAGAATCTACTCATGCTGCTATTAATATCGTATGAGTTGAATGAATTGTTTTTATTAATTGTGATGTTACTCTTAGTTATTCATTGAAACGTACTAGAGGCGTGACATCCTTGGTGAAACATATAATTTTGTACAAAATTAATCTGTATGCGTTATGTAAAATTAAAGTATAGTGATGCTTCTTCTTATTATTATTATTATTACTGTTATTATTATAAATGAATGATCCGTTCGCACAGAGTAAATTAATGCATAACTAAATTTACGCAAAATGCTCAGTGAAATAAAGATCGCCTGCGCGAGGCTGTCAAAAATTGAATTTCAAGTTTCGCATTGGAAGCGTTAAATATGGGTAATGATTCAATTACAGTACATGATTGGTATAAGTTCCAGATTAGTCACATTATACAAATGATTACACTACTTGTTTATCATTTTAACTCCAATGTTTCCTTCTTGAATAATGACTTAATAATAAATCATTTTCAATATATTCTTATAAGCAGAAGTAGCATAAGGTATATTAATTTTGGAAAACAGAGCTTAAGGATTGAAGATTTGGAATTGTTTCTCCTTACAACTAATATTTAATGAATAATTAAAATTACTTTGTACAGTGATATTATAATGACGATATCTTAAATTCTTAAAAAATTGATGCATCACCTCAGCGTGTTTATATAATATTATATAATTAGAGTTTAATTAGGAAATATTTTAAAGAAATGATAATACAATTTTTTCTAAATACTTACAGTGTAAATTCAGTGTGTACAAGACTTAAGTATTATTGCACTGAGTGCTTTGGATATATTTGTTTCTTACTACAGGCCAAGCTTGAAATATATATTCCATAAAGATAATTTTTCTTAATTATAACAAACATTACGATTCTGAGCAAAAACCATGAGCAGATGTTTTTAGAATTGAATGTTCTGTCATTCAGTGTCATTCCATAAATTTATAATTTCCGTTATTTTCTATAATACTTAACTTTGGCTTTTGACCCGGGAATGGTGCGCGATTATTTCTCCATTTAAGAAGTATTGAGTTAGGCTGTCTTATACAATACCCCACGCGGCTACTCTCGGGTTAATAATGCTACTACTATCATTTGTAATTTAAAAAGTTTGTAAAAAGGTGTCATACAACTAATAGTAAGAATTCGGTTTATAAATACCATTGGGTGCTATACACTATTTAAGATAAGAGATTAAGATATATGCGTCTTTAAAATCGTACTACAACATAATATGGATTGCAATTTTCACCATTGTTGAGTGAATAATAATTTTCATATGACACATTTAAATAAGAATATAATTCTTTGATTGATATACCACAATACAATATGCAATTTAACAGTTTAACAATACTTAATAACTTCTATTATTTTCTCTTTCAAACAATGTGAGTGTGAACATGACGAAATCTTTGTTGTTTTAAAGAAAATTCGGATTAACGTTTAGTACTGTAGAAAAAAAATCGATCAAGCATCTATGATACATTTTATGAATTAACAACACAGCAACAAAAACAGTTAATATAGCATAACAATATTGTATCTGTATTAGACGTAATGTGGACGTGAGATATTTTTATTCGGACTTCAGCTGTATATAAAGTATCTTGAACATGTGATGTAAATATGTAACATTTTGTTACTAATAATGATATACACTGTATGCTCTATGAGCAACTGGATAACATTCGTAAAAAGTTATAATCAACATGAAAATGAATCTATTACATAGTAGTGTTGAAATTGATATGAATCATGTGAAGGGATTTGATTAATATAAGATAAAAGTAATTTTTAATGATGGATTGTAATGAAAAATCACTTATTGACTTATGAAAGCATAGTTGACTACAATTTAACTTGAAAAATTACTTAGAATCATTCAAAGTATGAAAAGTGTTGTAACGTAATTTTTTTACAGATACTGATCAGATCTTATCTCACCATCCACAATACGATTATATACAGTAGCAGTGGCGTAGCTAAAATAGTAGGGGTGCAGCTCCACAAAATTAAGGATTCACTGCATTAAATGTTATCGATAATATCAAGTGGAAATAGCGAGCGCTGTAATTCCACAATGCCTATTTGCGAACCGCCACTGCAGGCCACTATACATACAGTAGATGACGATCGTTGTATGTTTATTTGAACGTATACAAGCCATTAGTAACTTGTACTATAGCCACTTACTTATTTGCAGGGGTATTTCCTATTTCTAATGCGATTTTATAGAAAGAAATATGGAAACGTATATTTAATATGATATGTTGACGTATATTGAAAAATGATTTAAAAAAGATAGTCAACGATACTTGTAAAATCTAAGACACAGCATTATAAGTTTTGTATATAAAAGGGTTGCTTCTCTGTTTAAATTTTATATTTTTTGCTGGTTTCCTTCAGATAATTAAGGCTATACATAAAGAAGTTTTTCGGTATTTTCTTCTAGACACAGCTGAAAATAGTGTGTCTTACTTTTATTTAAAATACTATTTATGTGCATCCGTTCGTATTAAGTATTTACTTATTTGGATAATTTGCATTATGAGAATGCAGTAAATACACTCAATGTGCAACTTTTATATCTATAATATACAGTTAGCCCGACTTTTTCGGTCGTATGAATGTGCGCTGTCTCTTCATTTTTTGTCGTGTAATCTCAAGATTGTGAAGATCCGAATAGACCTCTGCAAAGATTTCTTTTTGCTCTTCTTCGGGTATAGTTTCTCTGTAATAAAAATTTATATTCATATTTGCATTACATCTTGTAGTATATAATTTTGATAATGTTATTTGACTTATGATACTTATTTTTATAAAACTTACCTATAAATTTTCATAAGGTCATACTTTTCCCATGGCTTAAGTGCAGCTTTGGCTTTCATTTCACGTTTTTGATTAACCACTATGTCTCGAACTCCCTTCAAATCTTTTCTTTCCCATTTCTCTAGCCAGGGTTGAGGTTTTAACGTTACCTTAAGATCATTTACTGGAACTGGAGTACCCTCAGGTATAATCTCAGGTTCCATATCAAATGAAAATGTGCTATACTCTTCTGGGGCATCTCTGAGATACAATAGTTCATTGTCTAGTCTTTTTTCAAGCCTATTAATTGAGACAAACATTATTGTAATATTTTTGATATATCAAAATGATGAGACATTTGCTACTGCCTTCTATTTATCCTTTTTTTAAGAGTTGGTAGAATCTTACCTCAAACAATCAATTTTCTGAATGGTTGGATCATATAATTCATAAAGAACCTCTACCCCTTGATTATCAACAACGTTTCGAAGTATAAAGTTAGCTCTAAGGCCACAACCACTCCTTTTGATGCAAATTCCAACAAATCTATTACTTTTTCCAGGTGCATGAGGGTCAGAAACTGTTACTGCTAAAATTGATCCAACATAAAATTCAGGAATATCGATTTTACTTCTTCTTGCCATCATATCTGCACGCTCTAACTTTTCTCTAAGAGAATTTCGATATTCTGGCTTTGGATCTGGTAAGAATTCCGGATACATAAAACGACATTCCAAAGGATCTGCTGATTTCCCTCTATTCACTGATTTCTGTTCATTATTGCTTACTGACCCTTCTTTTGGAATTGGTACACTGGCTGAGAAACATCGATTTTTCTTCCCGGCTGGAAACAAGGTAATACACTTAATTAAAGAAGAAAGAACCAACTAAAAAAACCTTACAAATATGCGAGAGAAATTGAAATCAATAATTTCAATTACAGTTAAGTATTAATCCCACGTTATGTAGAACGGCAATAATATGATATAAGAAAGTAAGCTAGACAATAGGTTAAGCATATATTTCAGTGAAAAAAATGATGTTTAATAATGTATAATACAGTATGAAAATAATAAAATTAATATCTTATAACATTACGACTTCACAAATAGATACACGTACCTAAACTCTTCAGTACTTTTAAGCTTTGTCTCATTTGCTGAGACAAAACTCTTCCTACAGCAGCAGACATCTTTAAAGCACCGTGCATTAAACCACATTGAACCACATTAAACTATTGAAAGAGTGAGAGTAATATAGAGTCAGAAATGACAGTGATGAGCGGGGAGATGCACAACGCTCCGGTTTTAGGCGATACCAAAAGCATGGCGTTAAATCGTAGCGGCCAGTCCGGGAGTAGGATTTCGTGATCATCGCGTCTGTCGATGTTACAGATTTCGCGTAGCCACCCGGGTCATCGACAGAGGCGATGATCACGAAATCCTACTCCCGGACTCGCCGCTACGATTTAGCGCCATGCTTTTGGTATCGCCTAAAACCGGAGCGTTGTGCATCTCCCTGCTCATCTCTGATAGAGTAGTATATTCTTTATTTTGAGCATGTGAGTACGTATTGGAGCATATTTGCCCAATGTGTGCGGGTGTGTCATGTGTTTTTGGCGGTGCTTCATATTTTTCAACATTCATAAAGCTAAAACTTCACTATTTGAATATTTTATATCAAATATATTATATTTTAAAGCTTTTCTGAATCCAACATATGTGCAATGCTAAGGTGAGTGGGATTTGAGAATTTGTTTAAAATTCAGTGAACAATTTGGAAAAGACGCAATTTAAAAACTTTGTTTGAACAAACATTCTATTATTAAGAAAATATTATGAACTAAAGACCTTGATTCTACTTTTATGCATACCGTATATTGGATTCTTATGAAGGGTTAGAATGACAAATGCATTTTTTTCCATTTTTGTAATAGAGTATACAATAATTTGTTGTATATTTATAATTAATAATACTTTGGGAATGTGACGGTACATGCAATGATTTTATCATTCCGTTTGTTGATGAGCCAACATGGTAGATACTTGAAAAAAGAACTGCAAGTATAATAATTATATCATTTTATGTAAATTTCAGGGAAATGAGAATATGAAGAGAAATATCGACTGGAACATCCACAGTGGAATTAGATAGGGATAGTTAGAATTTGATGTGGTGCTATGTAGAATCTCATATTTGGTATGAAAGTACCATATGTTGATGGAAATGTAATTATTTTATATTAATATAACTATCAGTTATATGGCTGTAGCATAACATCAGTGGATCTTGCAAAAATAATTTTTGTAACCTTTATATGGTAATGTTTTTACAAATATGATACTGATATCCTGCTTCAGCTACGTAAAACCAACAAATATACCTTTTATCTTGACGAAGCATAATTCTTTTTTTTTTTAAGATGCGCTATAACAGTTTGGTAAAACTGAATCACTATGGTGTCCGTGACCTTGGAACTAAGGCCTCGTCTTCGATCCTGCAATGTCTTTATTTATATGCATGGTGCAGCAGAGCCAGAGTCTATTCGCCTAAAATTGAATGAAGACGCAATAATCTTTGGTATTGGAGAGAAAACGACAACCTTGTCTTCGTCTTCTATTAAAATAGTTCCAAAATCTTTATCTCTCCTAAGAGTAACTAGCAACTGGATTTCCTTTCGTGTACAAACAAAACCGATAAACTCCTCATATGGATCATTTGGTACAGAAATACTTGGTGCTGAATTAGTAGAGATTGATACTGTCTTGCGAGATTTAAAGGGAAATACAATATTGCCAACAGAAAACTCAGAATTCAGGTTATCTTGTGTAAATTGTAAAAATGATATTATAAAAACAGTTAGTTTTAAGAGAGTCTTGCCATTACCAAGAACTGACTGTGATCCAAGTGAATGGTTTTGTTGCAAACATGATGAAAATAATGAATCCTCAACATTATTGAGTCCTCGCAAATCAGATTATTTTTATGGAGCATATTATTGTGTTCTGCACAAAAATAATCTGTGTGACCATGTCAAAATTGATAAGAAAGTTGTTGTTTGTGGTAAATGCTTATCAATTATAGGTATGCCCTGGGACAATGTTTCTGTTAAAATCTGGAATTGCTGTATAGAGTATAAGACATCAAAGAATCCTTTGCCAATGAAAATATCAACAGCTTTGGACGACTTTTTACTTGTTATTCTTGATAGTGTTGACACTGTCCCAGGCAGTAGACTTTTATTGGAAGCAACAGAGGGAAACCATACTCATTATTTATTGCTTCAGCCAATGGACTGGCATTTGGATTTACTTGTCGAGCCAGAAATATTACCGAACAATAAAAATTTAGTTAACTTGCGAAGAATTCGTGTCATTAAAGTTTTATATAAGTATGGGGAGAAAAAAGCAGATATTATTTCGAATTCTAGCGAGTTTCAACAATGCCATGTAGCTTTGCCGATTATGCTAGCAGGTGTAGAACAACTTTTACTATCAACGAAACGTGTGCCTCCTTCTTATCGTGTTGCTGATGAATATTACATTGGTTATGTATATGTTCAAAAAGTTACTGAAAATGGTGTACTACCTAAGAAACAATAAGTAACTACAATTATAATTAAATAAATCTTTGAACCGCGTCAAATTTTTCGGGCTATTGATTTTATTCTTTTAAAGAATTATTACATCTTATTTACATAGGCAAAACTTCAGCCAAATCCTCATCTTTATTCTCCACTATTCCTCTTATTTATAATATGTAACTGGCACAAGACTTCAGAACATTGATTGTGGTATTATGCTACATTCTCGAACAAAAACAGTAACAAGTTCTTTATTCGTAAACCTATAACGTTTCTTTTTTATTATCATCATCACTCACACTAAAGTTAGCAGCGGCCCTTCAGACAATATACAGAATAACTCTTTTACTTTCTGGCGTTAACACCAGAATAACTCATATACATATAACAAACATTTGCTTTGAAATGTTCATATTATCTAGAAAAATCATGATAAGTACGAGGTATAAGTACACGCTCGTTGTGTATGATTTTATCTGGAGTTGCAATATTTCATAACTCAATTTCTCCTTTGTTTTTTGTTTTAATTACAATTATGATAGACTATATAATAATAATGCGAGAAGCATTACATATTGCGAATATTGTCCTAATGAGTTCTTATAGTTGTTTTTATGAGTCTCATTTATTCAAAAAAAAAATTAATTGCTCTACGTGTATTTGGAATTTCATAAGTTTCGTAACAACTATCATTTGTCTCAGATGATCATTCCAACTAGACAATATCATGGATAATAATAGACATCACTGTCATTAATTTGGAAGTAAAACATTTAAGTTTGTATCTTAGTTATACTATAAAACAAATTGTTTTATTTATAATCAGTGCGTTCATCTACAACTTAGATCAAAGATAATTTTACATACATACTCCGAGGAATAATTCATAACACGCACGAGATGCGCATGAATATTATCCTTGATCTGTTTGAAAAAGGCCACTGAAGTACGTGTACTCCCAAAGCCTTATACATAATTGAGTTATGCACTATTTTTAATATAAAGTGTATTGGTTTATATATTATTCTCAGAATTTATAACCAACATTAAAAGGACAGACAAATGTTCCCAACTGTCCAACAACACTTCGTTTAAGAAGCCAATCTATTGTTAATTGATTCATTTCCATTTTCATTATAAATATTTATTAAAATTGACATCATTTCACTGTTCAAAAAAGCTTGCAGAGAAGACTGTTAAAATTGTAAGATTCTATGTTAATGAATGGACTAAGTTTCATATCACTATTATCCTGTTTCAAAGGCAATTTTTATTATGTCTACTCACTCTTATTTGTATTTGATCATCCTAAAAAATATATTTATATCGTACCAATGCACAGGCTTTCAGAGTCACGTACGATTTAAGGCGTTAGGCCTGTTATTCTATTATTACTGTGCGATCTGTAAATGTACATGACTATTATAACTATTGCTCGTTACGCATATTTACGTTGCCTCAGTTTCCTCGGAAGTAGTGTGCAGCCTATCGGCAAGAGGTTTTATATATGTCCATCCACCATCCTTAGTCTCTTTGAAAAGCTGAGAATAAATGGGAATATACGAGATAATGAGACATGCTATTAATTAATATTATTATAGTTGAGCTATTGATATCGTATTATATATCGTAATACACATACTGTAAAAGTAACCTCACCTTTGTTTGCCAGGTAATATTATTATCCTTTCGAATCCGCGCCTCATCCCGTTGTTTCTGCTCAATAGAACATTTAGCAGCAGTTGCTTTATCCATATCATTAATACGTAAGCCTACAGTAACCTCTCGCCAGACTTTCCTCGATTCATATTCTTCTTGTTCCGAAATTGATTTGACCAGTTTCTTCTCAATACGCATTTCCCGGACGTCAGCAAAATCCTCCGTCCTCTGAAAAATTTCGATTCGGAAAATAGGTATTGTGAAATTCTTGTATGGTAACGAAATGATTAAATTAATTTTATACTCACTCCATCAGCCCATTTAGCTTCCATCGCACCACTCCATTCTCCATTAATTACCACGAATGGCTTTTTATCTCCGGGTTGCGTGATCTGGCAGGTGATACGATTACGTTTACCACCGTAGAAAGGCTTAGTCAAAAAATCTACAGCTGCTTGATATCCAGTCTGCGCACATGTTATCGTTGCTGCTCCACCCAATTCTATCCAAGGCACGGTAAGTATGGATCTACCGTAACCATTTGGAAATGTCAAAACGTATTCCTCTCCGTGATCTAATACATTAACCCAGCCCTTCCCTACGTTGTGCACACCTATACTAAGACCTAAAAACTTGCTTTTTGTCCAAACGTGCGCGCCAAAACTTATCCTCTTCCCATAATGTTCGGCATAAAATGCACTTACTGAAATTGCATTGAAAATATCATATTAATTCGTTTATGATTGCCGGTATAAATAATTAGTTTCTTTTAATTGAATTATGATAAAAGTACTGTATGATCATTACCTGGAGGATGATGAGAAACTTGTTCTGCAACGAATGAGAGTTGATTTTCTTGACACCATGGTACGGGTCCTTCATTCAAAGGTTTTGAGCCGTGATTTGTACCAGCATCGGCAGTAGCATTCGTAGGAAGATTCCAGTGACACCGAAAAATTTCGCCCAATATGGGATTGTAAGGTTTTTTAGCAACCCCGGATTTTCGACCTGCATGGAAGCTACATAGATACCAGCGTACAACTTGCACCATCCTGTCTCTAGGGGTTGGCATGTCTGCTATGCTGAAATGTTTTTTCTAATTCCAGAAAAGTTCCAACAACATTGGATCATCGATTGTGTAACGAAACAGCACAGATTTATTATGAACACCTTTTTATACTAATAGAATAACGTTCATGTGAAAGTAATAATTACCTTACAAAAAGATCAGGATGTGCAAAATAATCTGCATACATTTCTAAAAGCGACCTGCGCTCTAGGATGAATGTTGGTAAAGCTACCTTTGTCAAATCCATGCCAATTTTCACTTGTGACAGCAAATGTGTCACAACCGAGCCATGGCTTTCCATTGAATCCACTAGTAATATTTAATTATACAAATAAGTTATTGATAAAAAAATAATAGAGTTCAATAGGAAAGAACAGGTCATACTAACTTTCTGGTTCGCTTTCTTCCTCGTACAATGCTGCAATATGAATGAAAAATACAATGAATTATTAGTACAATAAAGTAGAAAACTTATATAATTATTTTTAACTGAATGATAACATTTAATATAAATTAATTAACCATGAATTATAAAAATGATATTTTGTAATATATGTCAGTACGATCTTGTAATTACAGCTTAAAAATACCAACAGTTGGTATATTATTCAATGTTAATGATAATTAATATATTACATACTAATGACATAGTTGAAGGATTCTTGCATATTCACAACATCTTCACTCATAATTACATTGACATCTCAATAAAACTTAACCTTCAACCTAAGAATATAATTACAGTTAATCCCCAATGAACTTACGATTTATACCAGAGTTCTGCATATTTTCTTCTTGAAATAGTACAATTAGTATCCATTCCTAAAGGCTCAGTGCCATGCGGGAGTCCAACATGTCGCGAAATTCGACACAATGTTTACTACCATTCATAGAGAACATAGTGTTTATTATCTTTATTACGGAATAAAATATTTTTTTTAATTACAAAGTGCCACTTTTCGCCTGAAGCAACCATCGTTCTCTTGAGTGTTCAAATTTAAATAATTCAGATCTCGGTATCCCGACACGTTCTGTGACGTAATTGTGTGCCACTAAATGTCTATAGGTCAGTAATGATCTATGTCTGCTGCGCGTATATACAGGGCATACGGACGTATCCACCCATATAGAAGGTATATAATTCAAATCAATACTTAAAGCCATCGCTAAAGGCGACTGCGCTTTTGCCTTTGTTCCTGGTATTCAAATATGTAGTAGTTACGAATCTTTAATCCATCATGAGCATTTAATCTCATTAGATCTCATTAAAAAAAATACCTAATATCTACTCAAGCATTTGTATTTGTACTATAAAATGAATCTTGACTCACCATCATAATCCACGGAGCCATCACCTTTGGTTGGCGGAGGAGGTGGCGGCTGTTTACGACTATCATTTGAACTACTTTCTGTTGGTGATTGTAACCGGTCGTTATCACGTCGTCTACTAGAACATTATTTGAATAACGTATAAAAAATTCGGGATATCAATAGTGACAGAACTATACAAAGAATCATATGGTGCAAAATACTGCATGAAATTAAAATATGAATAATACTTGCAGTTGAGAATGGCTTTGAGATGAGGAAGGAGGTGCAATCTCATCAGCCGCGTCATAGTAATCGTCATCTTCGTCCGAGGAAGAGTATGAAAACTCTGGTACTGGAAGGCTTCTAGCTATAGGAATGCAAGACCGAAAACAAATACAAATTCTGCGTGGGCTCTGAGGCCCGTACTCGTAGTCAATTTTTAATGTTAAGGACAATCTTAAGTCGTCCCTTTACCATGTATGGTCTTAAGACTGTACTTCGTCTCAAGCACTGACTATAAATACGGGCCTAAATGGTCCTTTAAAATTTCTTTCAATATTAGCCACAGTGTTGTTCATATGAACAACTAATTCAGCAATAAAATTATTAACTAACCATTTGGTAAACTTGGCACTCTTGGCTCAACGCATTCGGAACCTAATTCAATTCCAATTTGAACAGTAGACTCAGATTCTCCAGCAGCGACTAAAGAACACAAAACAAATAAATAATTGCCTCAGTACTATAATTTATTAAGCAACATTTAATTACTGACCATGTGTTAACGTCGGTGCAACATGTACTGGTTCAGTTGGTCCTCTGTAGATACCGTTAACAGGAATGGCCGTATTCTGTAAGAACGACAGAGTTCAAATATCTACCAATGAAAATTTAATAAAAATCTACAACGTATAACAGTATCACCAAAGTCCTTGCATGAGTAAATACAGAGTAACGTATAAATTATAAATATTGCGAAATTATCCTTTCAAAACAATTAAACCTCATAAACAAGGAGCCAGAGTTAAAAGCAAACATTACTGTAACATCGAACACCATAGGTCAGGCAAAATAAAATACCTTTGCAATTTGCAGCTGTACAATGGTATGCTTAACAGAATTAAGCATTGCGTTGGCTTGCGTTAGGATGGCTGCATACCTCTGTTGCTTTTCCTCGTCTCCTTCGTCCACGGTTTTCTGTTTTCCCTCGATTAATTTAATTTGATCAATTAATAATTGAAGATATGCATCTGCCTCAGCTACTTTGCGATCAAAGTCTTGTTTGGGCGGTGATTTCTTAGGGTCCCATCGCTGAAAGCATTTTATAGTTTAATTAAAAAGAAGAAAGCTCCTCTCACTATTCTCAAAGTATAACGCAAATTCTCGTAGCGAATAGTACTAACATTCTAAATTCATGACACCGTTCGACATAATATGCTTTGTGAATATTTCACAATATTGAAATTTCATATGATATTTGAATAATGATGAGCCGGTTATTAGATCAACACTTCAAGAAAGCAATATTCAAGGACATGTATTGTTCTACTTTTGAATGACGATTAATGAGACAGTCATTAATTAATAATATTAAACACAAGTGCAACAAGGAGTAATACCGCATGTGAATGTCGTAAAATGGTATCTTCAAGGGCTCTGACCCAACGTTCACGTTCCTCTCCATTGCGTGTCTGAAAGTGAAAAGTCTTGGGGTCGTCTTTACAAGAAGCTGTTGTGATGGTGAACGTACTGTCATCCTCATCATCGATTCCAATGACAGCACCCCTCAGACGTACACAACCTCGGCGAGCACCGCGCATCATCTTCTCTTTACTCTGCAAAATTGAATAATGATATATTTTTAAGAATTTCTTTTTCTGGCTATACGCATTAGAATAACAACGAAGACAATTATTTCCAAATCCCAAAATAATATCATTGAGATTTACCTTTAGGAATGCAAAACAGCTGCATAAAAATAATATACAGTTGAAACGAATCATCATTTTTAAAAAAGCAAAAAATAACGTAGGTACTCATCATGATGCATATAATTTATGAGAGGCTTTGGACACAATGAAATATATTAAATATATTTGAGAAGAAAACAATATCGTCTGCAAATCATATCACATTGTAGCAGAAATAAGCTCAATAACATGTGTCCCTGCATTAGCGGATTCTTTCCGATCGAAGTCAAAGGTTGGAAATGCGTACATAATTCCTGACCTTTACTAGTTGAAATATCGTTTTCATTTGGTTATAATTGGCTTCGGGCTTGTAGCTGCGTCTGGAAGTTTTAGCTTACCGACGTTTTACAAACATAGCAAATTACTTCATTAGGGCTTGTAAGGTATTCTTATACCAGTGCGCCTTGGCAAAAGTTATCTCTTGTAGCGTTCGTGTGTAACATGGTTAGCCAGTCAGCTGTTATATTAATTTTGGTTGGCCAACCGAAATAAAAGATGTTTGTGAAACATCGACAAATTATAACTTCCAGACTAGTTTACTACTCCTGTTTCTTCACAATAGTCGAGCCACGACATCATGGTCACGTTCTAGGGACTCTTTTATGTTATAACCGGTACAAAGGTGACACCTCAAATGTGACATACTAATGTCATCGCCGAAATTGCTTAGCGTAATCTGTGAATGTAATTTTCCCATTGAAATCATTCTTACTCGTTCAATTGGTGATAAGGTGTTTCTCAAAAAGGTCGCTGGAATTGCAAATTTTATGTTATATGGATACGACAATAATTTTTCTTATAGGTCGTAGTATGACACGTGCAAACAGTATACATCCCGAACCATAAATTTACATCGAATCAAGTATCTGAATTGGCATATATTCATTGGCTGTCCAATCCGTCATTTGTGTTGTATTCATAGCAGTATTATGAATAATTTCCAATTATAAGGGAACAGTTGAAAAACTTCCTCCTATTGTTTTACATTGTCAAATAAAACAGTAGTATGTGAATTGGGACATAATACTACGTAAACTGGAGTATCATAGGGATGCAGTTTTTCTATAATTTCTTAATAATGTACGAATATTTCTTGTAATGTAACGAATATCATCGTGCGTGTAATATATTTTTATCGTAGTTTAAAAGGCTCAATAAGCATTCAAATATATTAGCTCTTATTCTATCATCTAAATTGTATACTAAACTATAATTTGCGTCCAGTAAATACAGTTGACATTACATAAAATCTGTTGTGTGTTTTATGCTATTAATATATGTTTTAAATATTCTTTGTACTTTCACTCACGCTTTTTTTTAACGATTCCTCCATCCCTCTATTGTTCAAAAGTGAAGTTTATATTGAAATATATGAACCTAAAATTCTGGAATATTCAAACATTTACAATGATTCTCACTAAGCAAATCCTATAAACCAACTGTGACCAAATTGTTATAGACAAAAAAAAATGATAATCGTTGTAGTGATGTAAGTAGTAAAATTTTAATAACGTGTGTTTTTTAAAGTAAGATAGGGGCATCTGTTTAACGATGAATGACGCACAACAATGATTTAATTCGAGGTGGGGAAACATGCATTCTTCATATATAAGCCGGTACTATGAATTTTACAGAGCTTAGACATTCAACGATATCACCATTGCCCGAGCATGTATGAAATTTAACATCACGTTAAGTTAGATATCAGTAGCAACAATTTTATACTATACAGTCTCCTTGTAGTTAGTTGAAAAAAAAGAAAAGTACACAATGGGATTCACAGAATTGTATAATCATTATATGATCGAGAAAGCAGGTGAGTCCTGAACAATAACTGAGCACAAATTACTAAAATTACTATTACTCGAATAAAATGAGGGTTTTGAAATGAAATATTAGTTCCCGCACATACGTCTTTCAAGAATTAGTGACCTACATTGCTAAGTACAATATTAATATATGCACGATAATTTTAAATAAAAGAAATTAAAAAATTAAACAATTAGATTATGTATTCAAAAGACAGAACGGGTGTCATATAAGTATGGATTTGATAATAAAATTCAGTTTCGTAGTATACTTGTCTTTTACGTTTAGTTTGTATATACTAATATACTATTACATATATTATATTAATAAATATTATTCTTTCAGATGTTCGCACAAATGACTGGTTCTTAATTCATTCACCGATACCACTAGGATTGATCCTTATAAGCTATCTTTATTTTGTATTGGGTTGCGGCCCCCGTTACATGAAAAATAGGCAACCACTTTCATTAAAAACATATATCAAATATTATAATATTTTCCAAATTGTTGTTAACGCGTTGTTAGTGTACTATGTTGCAACATCAGGATGGACAACGCACATCAATTTTGGATGTGTGCCATTCGATTACGGCACGGATCCTATTTCTATAAGAGTAAGTGTTCTACGTTAAGTGTAATTTAAATGTTTTAGCAACAAAATTAAAACTTAATATACTGTGTGTTTGGGATTAAAGATTTTCCATATAAATGATGTTCAAGTTTCTGTTAAATTATTGGTTTAAGAATTTTGAAAATTAAGAGTTAATGAAAGTCAATTTATTTTTCAGCTGACGCATGTAATCTATTGGACTTTCATTGTGAAGATAATTGATTTAAGTGAGACAGCAGTATTCATATTCAGAAAGAAGAACAATCAAATTTCTGGGCTTCATCTGTATCATCATGTCACTACATGTCTGTTTGCATGGCTGTCTTGCAAATACTGGACCAGCTATATGGGATCATTAACGTTACTCATTAATTGCGGTGTCCACGTTATTATGTATACGTATTACCTACTAAGTAGCACTGGAAAACCTTCGATCCAGGGTGTGCTAAAAGTTATTAAACCATACATTACCATCGTACAAATGGTAAGGCATGTAATTTAATATATTCCATATTTTTATGTTAATATTTATAAACAAATAATTACAGATGCAACACAAAGTATTTAATAGAGTTTTTATATATTCGATAAATTTGTATACTTTAAATATGAAATGAATTTGCTGTTTTCAGGTACAATTCTGGGTTCTCCTCATTCATGCCTTTCAAGGAATTTTACCGTCGTGCGACATACCTAAATGGAGCCCTATATTACATATATTGAATTTGCTTATAAATTTCTTCCTGTTTCTAAATTTCTATAGATCTTCTTATCATAAACATAAGAAAAGTGTATAGAAACAAAATATTGTAGAAATGAAGATATGTGTTAGTAAATGTACATCCGATTCACCATTTTAATTTCATAAGTCCATCATTGTAGTCATGTAAATCAAACTCTATATTATATTAAACACAATATTACTTAATTATATATTCACAATTGCCATAGACACTGTTCAACTGTATGTAAATAAATAAATCATCTTGCAAATTTCTAGTATTTTATACATTTTCAATATTAAAATAAATATGTTCAATACACTTTCAAAAATATAATTAGATATAGCTATCTAAAATATGATGCATATGACTTTCATTACACTCCATTATAATAGGGCTCAATGTTTTAATAATTCAAGAATATTAAAGGCCTAAAGTGTTTGATAAATGATATTGTCTCAACGTATGGAACTGTCATAATTATTAAAGAATAAATCAATTCAATACTTGCTCAGTAAGCAAAACATTATACTAAAATCCTAACCTTATTATCGTGTCAAAGCAAAACTGTCAAAACAATGAAAAATTGTAATGTTTTCTAAGCTCAATTGTTACGATGACATTATCTGTTGTGCAACATTTGATCTAATATTGGAAACAACCGAAAGATATCACAAAAACGCACAGTGTACCGATCAGCTGACAGTAACACAATGTATACAATTAAAAGTAAAAAACATGAATTGGAAAGAATCTAACAGAAGTCAAATATACTAGCATCAGAATTGTACGCTACGTTTTTTCCTATCAAGTTTTGACAAATAATCCACCAATTTATACAAACTGCTAATTAGCAAGTGGGTGTAACCTGTCGTGCATCAAACTATAAATGGTCCCAGAAAGTATTGGAAATTTAAAAAAATATACTTACTGTATAATACGAAAGAAGTCCAGCATTATCGTCTAACACAAACCACCGGTATTGCCATCCATTTACCACATTGGTCCACTTGCTTAACGAACCCTCCATCGTCGACATGTTGTTTGTTGCTGCCATTGGAGCGGAATAGATGTTGAACTCGAAGTGTGAAAATTGAATATTCACTTGCCAAGTACTCCTTTACCAGATGCCGTTACCAGCTTATCTACTAATGTATTATAGAATTCAGGTACTAATTATCGTTAAGTAACAAACTTTTTACTTTTTGAAGCAAAAATGCAGGTCCTTTAAGATATTACAGTTTTGGTATTCTTCGTTCATCAATAAGAAAATAATTGTCTTGAGAAAAATTTCCCAGGACACGTTTGCGTCATGCTTTCAATGTAAAAAGATGAGAACATCAATAAATATAACGTTATGAATTAGTTAATCATGCCAAATATCATTGCTGATAGTTTTTTCTTTTTTTTTGTTGCTACATAAGTAATTATTTATTGTCTTGAATAAGGGTCGTTTCGATTCTACAGTGAAATCACTATGACCGCGATCTAGTAACTATTATAAGATACTCATCGGTTCCATTCTCACTGGTTGTTCGGAAACAATAAAATAATAAATACATCTTGGAGAATTTGAAAGGGCAAAGGTGCCGATATTATTAAGTGACAATTACGGATGTCCTTTTGTAAATAGTGAGCTTGTACATTTTAGTAGAGATACATTTTAAGTAGACTAGAGGATAGTGGACTTTTCTATTACTGAAAGGACACATTTGGCTGGAACTATCCGATCTTCAGGGAGGTACGTAAGATTTAAACGCATTTTATCGGTCAAATGATAAATTAGAGTCTTAAGTATGATCAATCTGACATTGTGATTCGCACCATTTTTGCTAACCGGTGTCAGTAATAAATCCAACCATAACAGTGACCTGACAAATTGTGGGACTTACATTAATGCACAGCTTTCTGTGAATTTTAGGATCCATAAACAAATTACGGCAATGCTGCTTCTTCCTTATTTATTCTTGAAACTAGTAAAGTTCTAGTTTATTAATCAAATTTGAAATTACTATATGATAAACTTAAAACGTATGTTGTAGCAGTTTCTAGGAATAAAATTCTGTTAATAACTGCATTTAGTGTAAAAATTTTTATAATCAATGGTACAAATTAGTACTACCTAAATTTACTATGAGTTTTCATGATTATCCCTTTTATTTGTTCATAATTTTAAATGTGTTTATGTAAGAGGAATATGTATAATACTCACTGTAATTCAGATTAAAGAAGCAATAATTAAATCGCATTAGGTGTGTCTCTTAAAAACATACTATTTTGAATTACGAATAAATTGTACTTGACAATGAAAATGCTATTACATTGATAATATATATTTGTTCAAGAATGCAATTCTTTTAGCATAATTTTTGTAAGAAAATGCTTTTGCTTTGTTTACGTAGTTGGGCTGTATATTAGATTTGTATTGCTATTATTCTTGTTATAGATCTTGCGACTAACGGTAATTTTGGTATAATAGATAACTAGGCACTTCTTCGGGTAAGAAAATATTAGCATGGCTAACTGTATGCAGAGTATATTTAACTATACATAAATCTCATCATCAATTAGTCTAAAATTAAATGTTCTATAATGTAAAATTAAACATTAGGATATAAGAATGGAGGAAAAAAGGAGTACTGGTGTAAGAGGGGTTGAAGAGCCAGAGGAAGCAGAGAATATTATTATAAATGAGGTAGATGGTCTACCTAATGTACATCCAAATTATCAGCAATTGGAATTGGAATTTGAAGAAAAAGAGGACCGTGGGGATGCAAGTTCAAGAACACTAGACGAGTTAGTTCATGATGAAGATCTTCCTACTTCAGTAATTGTCACCAATGTTGACCCACGTGTCTTCAAAAGTGATGAACTAAAGGTTACTTAATTTTCATAGTCTTATATAGTACTTTTAATTCGATGCTAGTTTGATAAACACAGATAATACTTATCTATACTTTATATGAATTTATTACAGAGTGGCATAGAAACACTATTTAAACAATTTGGACAGGATGCTACGTTTCAATATTTTAGATCATTCAGGCGTATGAGGGTAAATTATAGTTCTCCAAGTGCTGCTGCACATGCCAGAATACATTTACATCAAGTTCACTATGGAGAAACAGATATCAACTGTTACTTTGCACAACCTGTGACACCAATAGGTTTGTTTCCATCATTCTGGCAATGATTGTGTAGTCAAAAATATTACAATAGAAACTATATTTAAACAGTCACAATGATATGCTATGAGATATGCTTTATTTGCAATAAGATAACTTGAAATCAGTTAGATCGGAGAAGTAGCGTGACACAAATTGAAATATAATTGAAATATAAAAACAATATAATACACTATCTCTAGAATAGTATTGTAAATTATTATCTCATACTGGCTTTTTGTATATTTAAATACAGATATGGAAGATCGGCATCTGCAACCACCAGCCCCCACCAAACAGTTCCTAATTTCACCTCCAGCATCCCCACCAATAGGCTGGGAACCCAGAGAGGAAGGTGAACCTCTTGTCAATCATGATTTACTAGCAGCAATAGCAAACTTGTCACCAGGTATCTATAATCTCCTTATTAAAATCAAATTGGATAAAAGATCATTAACACATCTGATTCCACAGACAATTATTAATTTCTAAATATTAAATATAATTATATTTATATCCCCACAATAATCATTGTGGCAATAATAAAAACGTAAACAAACAAATAATTGTTGAATCAGGTGGTAGTCACGAGTTGCATCCAGGAGGTTCCGGTCAGCCAGGCATAGTGGTCCACGTATGCGAAACGACGAATCCAATGCAAAATGCTCCTCGTATCCAACACACGCGCTGTCCGGATCATTAATTTAGCTCCTGTTGTCTCTTCCTATATCGTTCAAATAATAAAAATGGCAATTACTTTGCCCAATCCATCCAGAACACGACAAAAGTCGTATAGAGCTCGTGAAGAATATGTAATAAGAGAGCATTTTGATAATTCGAATAATTCTATTGCCAAGCCATATTTTGTAAGTTTTAATTATGGTGTCAAAATAAAAGGTTCAGAAACCGAGTTCGAATAATGGAATATTGCTGCTCAAAAAGCCGAGGATTTAACTAATCGTTAAAAAAAATTCGAAATCTCATACGATTGATTGATTAATCTTACAGCCACTATCTCGTTCGTTATAAATAAAAAAAAACGAGTCTTTTTCTCTACTTTCCAAGATAGTCACATTTAGTTTATAAAACTTGAACTAAATGATGCGTAGTTGTTACATGAGAAGGGGTACATGTCGATTAATGATCCTCTGGTATATCTAATAGATTCTGAAATGAGTTTAGCAAATGTCTTATTATTAAATTATCACAATCAATGTGATATACATCAACTTTTTTTTTCTTCTCACGCTTTCCACGGCGCCTATAGATAAGCGCAGTAAAATGCAAATTACGTGATATAAACGAAGAAGAGAAAAAAGAACATTAATTATGGTTTATAATTATAAAGGAATTTAGTCGTTCATTACTCATTGAAAAAATAATTTATAATCACTCATTAGGGAACACAGTCGAATACGCCGTATAACAAAATATGGCTTTGCACTTGTCTCTTACGATCCTTTACAACGATGACGATTTTCACCTGTAGAATGTTGACATGGAAACTCATATTCTTTCTTAAAAAGGATAAAGACTCGCGACCCTGTATCTTTATTGTTGAATAAAGTAGATCAAAAATTCGAACACGTTGCAAAGGGGAAGAAGAAAAATAACACTTGTACGTAATAAGAATCGAAACAAAGATATGGCAAGACTTAATGCTTTATGCAGAATTGTATTACACGTAACTTATATTTGAAAGGAATTGTGAAAATTATTAAAATAATTTATTAAAAAAGGAAAGAATGAAACCGATGTACGTACCACGTTCTACAAATTATCACGCAAAATATATCGCAACGGAGTTTAACTTACAAATTACATCTTCATATCGTGAGTGTGCTATTTATCCGTACGGATAATATATGTACTAAAGGCATAGGGATGTTGAAGGGGGAAAAAACATTGAAAAATATGATTAAAGTAATGAAAATCTCCGTCAAACTATTTTTCTTGGTATTCGACGTATCGTTAATAAGACATGTTAACATTTTAATGTCGAAATGCGTGTGTGAATGTGGTATTAGTTATATAACTTTCTCGTGTGTATATATATATACGTATATACATACCTATAATATAGATGTACATATATTTATATACACATATATATTATATATATATACATAAGTATACATCGCGTTCCCTTTTTCTGCAAAAAATATAAATACTTCAATCGTTAACGATTATTAAGTTGTACTTATTAAAATCTTTAAGGATCCCGTCAAATGGATTGTTGTTATAAGGAATTATTTTAAAATAGCCTCTTGTCATTTAACATTGAATTGATAAGAATAAAGTTCATAAAAATCATTTTCTGCACTTATTATTCAGAGACTAAGTAGGCTGAGCAAGAATTGAACGATAGAAAGTAAAATATCAGCTTAGACAAAGATTAAAATTAATATTGCAATACAAATTTATAATCCACCGTACGTAATATTCATTCGTATCAATAACAGATATGATTGAGCATTGCTTTCTGTTATACATGAAGAGAAGATTTTCTGTAATTGATTCAATATATCTCACTAGAGTGTAAATATTTGGAGTTCAAACGGTTTTATAAATGAAAATAGGAACAACGTTGTTATATTAATGATCATAGACATTTTTAAAGTAGTATTTTTCTGGAAAATTCAGATTTTTAATGCAATGCGAGTTACTTGTATTCTTACACTCTTAAATTCATTCAAATATTATAAAGGCTTTATACAACAAGTTAGACTTTATCGACACTAGTTTACGTAGATGTAACACTTTAACAAATTGTGTTTTTCCTCAAACTTAAAATTCTAGCAAATTATTTCCTTATTGCCTAGCGTACGCTCCAGTTCACTAATTAAATGTTACGTATATTTATGCGCAAAATTTATAGGCCGTACATAATGTATACAAGGACTTGTCGGAGACCCAGAATCCGCGAGCTGACGAGCTGATTTTGCAGTTGGGATTATAAGGAATGTTAATTCGGAGAAAAAAGGTGGCATAAAGTATTACATTGCAAGATGAGTCGGTATCCCTATTTTCATTGAAATTTCCTGTTTTTTTTTTTCCTTTTTGAATCACCAAAGCATTTCAAATACAAACAATTTGCTTCGGGAAATTGAACTTAGTCATAACTATTTATGTGTTCTACGTAATAAAGAATCGGTCACAATAATGAGATCACCATTATTTAAAACGATCTTCGTTAATGCTGACAAATTTTTAGAGTTTCTACTGCACGTATATATCCTTTCTTCGATCTAATTATCCGTTATGAATTTGCAGGATAGTCCTTATAAAGTGATATGATCTTTTGAGTCAACATGTTCTTGTTCATTTCCTTTCTGTTCGATCATTTATTAAAAGTAATGTCTATTCCATTGATTTGAAGCTGTCAATGAATGGCAGGTAAGTAAACCTGTTTCCTTTAATCTGCTTGAGCATACGCTTCCGCACAGGGAGAAACTCAAGTTCTATAAAAATATAGTATCAGCCATAGAAGTCCGAATGATTTCACGAGTAGCCATCATCAAAGGTTACGCCATGTAAACGAACGTGTTGATGTCTTCGTCGTGTCTTCGAATATATTTGTGCTCGATAAGCCATTCGATTTGCTCTTTAATCATTTTTTTACTGGGTAAAAACATATTCTTCAATATGTCTACTAATTCTGTTTGCAGCTGCGCATTGTTTATCTTCTTGCGCATCTTCAATATCTTTATGATGGCCTCCTATTTGCATAAATCAAAGAATCATACTTAGCATTGATTACAGTGAACAGGAAAATTGTACAAACTTATTTTTTTATATTTATGGTATTTGTACCTGTACACGTAGTATTCTGAGTTGGACGATTGATTGATTATCTTCTTCCTTACTACGTTCCGTAGAGAGCTGCAAGCGACCAATTAGATTAATTTTTCCTCGCTTTTGCAGTTTGCCATTTTTCCTAAAAACGAAATAACGATGATAGAACTAATAAGGAATAGAATGAAGTTTTAACGGCAAATGTAATAGAATACAGTTTTATACTAACACAATGGCAAATTCCTGATTTACCCAAAATCGGGAATCGTGTGCAAAGTCCTTTGGACTGTGAGCTGGTGGATCTACAAGTAATAATTGTCGTTTGAGTTTTGGAAAAGCGCACAGTGAGCATAACGTGCGTCTTAATTCTGGATCTGGTAATTCAGTAGCCAATCGGAGATTCTCATAAGATATTTTTTCCATCGGCCGTTGATTCCAAGCAAAAAGTACAGCCATTTGGAAGGTTGTTACATCCACGTCAAATCGACCCACTTGGTTCGAAAATGTTATCTAAAGTATGAGAGACATTATAATATCATATGATTGGAGGTGAAATTTTTCATTTAATGGAAGCATTACGAAAAAAAAATGTAAAGCAAGTTTCTCAATCTTACCGTTCCGTTAGACATGTGATGATACCATTGTAATTTACGACCGCTATGCTTCTTCTTGTAAAAATCTTCCACTTCGGGAATGTAGTCTTCCAATTGAAGTGGTAAACTGACAGTAACACGTTCGCTACCTCTTGCCCAAGCTCCCGCATTCAGTATCTAGTGGAAATGTTAAATATTTTGTTAAAGATCCTCTTACAATAAAAATTACAGTAAAATGTAATAGGATAAAAATTTACTTTGATATTAATGCTATCAGCAATGGCTGCTCGACATTGCTCCTTAAATTGTTGATTAAGATCCTGAGAGACTTTAATATCTTGAAACATACGCGCCAACTTATTAACATAATCCGCAGGCATTCCAACTTCTCGAAGCCATTCTACCATATTTTCTTCTTTTTCTGAATCTGCTGATGTATCCAAAATAAGACGTCGAGTTAGGTGGGCCTTGTGATACCGCATAAATACGTCCTTATTCTGAACGTATTTTAATACTAGTAGCTGTAACATGAACATTATCATAATACGAAATCTTAATTGTGATACTAGAGATAATTCTGTTAACGTGGTACATACCACATCCCTTAATTTGCTCTCAATTTCATCAGATGTAAGTTTTTTGCTTAGAGGAGTTTTTCTCAAAAGCATATCACAGTAATTAGCCAAAAGTTCAGGACATTTAGATTCTGGCTGGCCATTATTATTATTGTTCGGTTTACTGTTAACAACAGCTGTGCCAACTCCTGCACCCTGTCTAGGTGGTAATTCTAATCTGAATACCGTGGCATCGTTAACCACTAATTTGTAAGCCTTATCTCGTGCCGTGAGGAAACGTGGGTCGTCGTCAAAGGCTTCTTTCACGAGTGTCGAAAATCGACGAAACAAGTCCAATAATCTCTCAACATATTTTTCAGAATCTTGAGTGATTACGTCTACAGCAGCCATCATATCAGCCAGTCCTGCATTTGCTATATGCTCTTCCAAGTCTCTTAACATAGGTCCAACACCTTCTGGCACACGGTCCATCAATTTCAACATTAACCGCAGCTCTGTTGATGAAAGGTACACAAAATTACATTGGTAAAAATGTTAACCATACGTAGGATGAGTATTTTTATATGCGACATCAAATTAATAGAACATTTGGTCATTTACTTACTGTCCGTTTGATGATGTTGTATCATTCGTGGGCATTCTGCCAATATAGCTGGCTTAAAGGTAGCTACTAGTACTCGCACGCAACATTCAGTTAATAATTGTACACTTGCGCTATTTGGTTCTAGATATTTTTGTGCACGCAGTTCTTCTTCTCTTAACTTTGCTTCAGCATAACGCATATAATTTTCCACTCCATGTAAGGACAATTGTTCTGGCGCCTTTACCCAATAAAATGCCTCTGTAGCTTCAATATATGCTGCTTCGAAGTTTTCTCTATATATCTGGAGCTTGTCAGTTGTGTTCGAACATAGATTCACTACAAATGTTAAGAGGTTAAATATATGTATACATGGATTTTTTGAAGTTATACGTTTTCTAATTATTATTAAATATTACCATAAGATTCTCTCACACCAATTACCAGTTGAGAATCAAAAGCTTCTCCATTTCTTTCAGCTCGTACTAATCGCATTGCAGAATCTTGTAGTCTTTGTTTGATTTCACCGAATATACTTTGATTCCAACTATCTAGCATTAACTAATAGGAACAAGATTACTCAATAAATTGTTTGTATTTATAACAGCTGCTAAAAGTATTATATTTGTACAAACTTTTCTGACTATACTCTCATCAGGCTGATTTCTTTTCTGAGGAGTTGAACTTGTTTTCCCTGCAAGGGATGTTTCTAATTGTCTAAATGGGGTGGGTAGATAATTACACTGTGTAAAAAATTTTCCCCATTCAGCTATGTAAGCTTTCAATAATGCCTGCTCCTCTTGGTGTGCCAGTACTCTCTATGTTTAAACAATTGGATTACGTATCATATTAAGAACTTTTTATATCCATAAACACAAGTACTTGCGTATGATATACAAAATTAATTAAACAAAATACTTTACCTGTTGAGCCTGTTTTATAAAATCCATTATATCTTCTTTGAGTGCATCTCGCAGTTTGGGTGGACCTTTTTCGTTCTCCAAACACACAAGATGAACTGAAAAAAATAGATCCTGCCATTCGCCTTGTGTCACTGGTTCTTGTTTCAGCAATTTTAATATAATAGGACGCATGCAGGGCCATTTATCTTCGAATGTGAATTGGCCCCAATCCTGCAAAAGAAAGGTACTTTCTAATTATACTACAAATAAAATTTAAAGATACATATAGCCATTACTTCTTATATATAACCATTATATTGAAATAAGAATCTATTTCATTACTAATCATTACATTACTTCACTCATGAATAATTTTATTTTCAGGCTATCCCATAACTCAATATATTCATGTATACAAATATACACTAAAATTGTACTATAAGAATAAAAGCCTGTAAAGATACTGATGTTTCCAACGCAATACTTTTCTTAAGGTAGGTCAAGATATTTTGAAAATCATGCAACAATTCAATACATGTCAGTGACTTTATCCTTGTGATTATCATGATTGAACAAAAAAAACGTTAACAATATTAATAAAGGAATATTAAGTAACCACAATACTCATGACAAAGTTTTATTCCATTTCTGAAGAAGATATTTAAATATCTCTTACTCCGATAGTGAGTGATAATTAACGAGAGCAGTAAATTTTTTCAAATATTTAAATTAATTAATTTATCCTTTATTTCGACAGGAATTTCTTTCATTTAGTGACAACTAACCTTTAACATCGACGCCATCACAAAATTTTTGACATGTCCTATGTCGATGCGCCCAGTGCGCCATCGTCAGCCATCGTTCAATGTTGATGCATGTAGATGTCATCTTCAACATGCAGCAGAATATTTGACCAAAGAAAAAAATACATTTCATCATTTAATAATATTGCAACGACAAAAATAGATTAAATATACTTCTATTGTGACTAATTGCATGATGAGGTAATGCAATTTGGTGACAATATTTATTTCATAAAAAATTTAGCAGAAAAATTAACGATGACTATCATCCTATGGAATGCAAGGACAAAAGAATATGAAATCTGGTACGATTAAGTGCAATAATTATTATAAAAAATGAAAAAAATGCACAAGGTGTAACAGCAAGGAGTAAAATAATTGTTCATGACGTTATAGACAAGGTATACAATAATCATGGTATTCATCTTTATTTTCATTACTGTATTTCATATCTCTTGAAATCCAAACACATTTATTTATCCTCTATCGAAAAAAAATACAATAAATATCCGCATTATCCTAGAATTAACAAAATATTCCACATCATTTTTTTTCTTTCACTCTCCCATTTATTTGGTCTAAATTTTAATCATTTTTTTTTACAAATCTAAATGCAAATATCCCTCGTTAACAACAAACAGTCTTAGCCAATAATTAGTTTACAGCGGAGTCCGAAAAAGCGAATTAATCAGAAAAAATATTGTACATAATCTATTATAATTTCGATTACTGTGAACTTGAAAATATGACGGTGTTTCCAATTTTTTAAATATTTTTATTTTATCATAGCAAAAGAATCGAGTTGTCGGGTAATCGGTTAATATAGTCACCTGCTTTAATTTTATTCGGATGTAAGTAAAATTAAATGTATAAAATAGAAACAAAAATGTAGACAATAATCTGCCGGCAAGATACATATTGCATTTACTTATACGATCTGGTACTCTTCCATTTTGGTACACCTACATAATAAGATTTGCGTTAGCATTCTAGCAACGTATCTCTAGACATCGCCACGTTTATATTTCCTTAATTTATATTCAACGCTATAGAATAAGATATTCAAGTGAGCCCAAAAGTCATTACCATGAAGGTGCCGGAATTACAGAATTGCGAAAACGAACCCTCGATGAAAACTGAAGACAATAGTTGTATACATAATGTAAAAAGAAACATAACTAATTAGATAGAATAGGAAAGCAGTGAAGCGCACACTGAATTCAAGAAAACAATCTGTATTTGTTTATTTATTTTTTTCCTATAACGCTTTAATTTTAAACACTGTATACAAAAGGAAAGTAGGGAATTACCAAAGCAAAATAAAATAATACCAGTGTCGCCGACGCTATTGCAAAACAATAAAAAATAAAATTTTCACCGACAAAAGGAATCAGGATACGCTATTAAGATCTCGTGGTCTCAGTTCTTTTTTCACCGCATTTTTCCTAACACCATTTTCTTATAATCCGTATTTTCATTTTTTTTTTGAGCAATAGGGAGATCAATTTTTGCAAGAAACGGGTTCCCAGTTGTTTTACTATCTCTCGTGTTTTATATATTGTTTTTCTTAATTTCCCTAGGCTCGATTCGCTAAGAAAACCCCACGAAGCTACGGAGACGATAATTCTTAATCTGTGAGCCTTACATAGACAAAGATTAATTTTTTTTTCCTGTATCGTATTGTAAAATAGAAATTTGTAGAAATTACTACAACTAATCAGTTAAGTAGATATTTCTTATTATGTGGAGTATATTCTGGGAGTCAGGGCAAAGTGTAGCGTACGTATGGGACCTCGACGTCGTTTCCATCAATGTCATTGCAGCACAACTCGAAAACCAGGGCACGTACATGGGATTCCAGCTTCTTCTTCGATACCTTCTTCACCACCTCAGACATAGGCAAACCCATTCGTTCCTGACACTTGGGTTTCGCCATGAAAAATGAGTAGAGCATGCAGATATTCTGCGAGAGCATCGTCACCTCTAAATTGTAACGTTCCTTGAAGTAATCGAGGAATTCCTTGAGGGTAAGTTCACCCTTGACCTCAAATCTATCCCAAAGAGTCCATTCGGTGTCGTAATACTTCAGCTTAGGCGCAGCTATCGGTTCTGAGAAGCCGAAGAAGGGCAAGGCGAGATTTACAAATCCATTTTTATAAATGGCAAGATCTCTAACGCCACGAGCTAGTTTTATTAACTCCAGGCAGACAAGACCAGCCACTACTGAAGTGGTTGTAGCAATGGCCGGTATAATCTTTCCAGCGATGAGTTTGCTCTTGTGTCTATCAGCTGGTGGAATCTTGTAGTTGGTAGCTCTCAAATTTGAAGCAGCTACGATGAAGTCTATATGGAAATTAGTGTCGTCGTCCTTTTCGAATTCTTGAGGATGAATTACAAGACCCTTCATTTGATCAGACTTGGGTAGCTCCTCCTGGAGTTGAGTGAGTCTCTCATGGTCCACGTTACCGCTACCGTTAGATACCTGAACCTGGGAGTCGGTTTCAGCTATCTTCACTCCAGACTTTGGTGTGAATTCTGGCACTTGCACGGTGTTTACAATGCTGGCTATTTCTTCGCGGTTACGATTAGTTGGCAGTCCATAGATGACAGCCTTAAGGTTGGCTGCAGCAACAATGTAATCTAAGTGAAGAGAGTCGTTCACATCGAAGATCAATGGTATTGGGCAGCGCTTGGGTCCGGACCAAAATGGCTGACCACTGGAACCAATTTGTTCTGGTGGGAAATTAAAGAGCAACTGTCTAATTTGGTTGTTATACTGTTCCTGCCAGTGACAGCGAGCCCATGCGATACAATCTGCGAATGACTTGGGTCTCTCGTCCACCAAAGCAATTTTCACAGATTCCAGGACTTCTAATGGTTGTACACCAGGTAGCTTCAGAGTTCTCTCGACGAATTGAGGGTCGGAGATGTATTGCGCAGCATTCTCTGCAGCTTGACGGAAAAGACCCTCAAAAGTATCTCGGGCCCACTGCAGTGTATGCTCTATAGCGTTGGGGAAATTCTTCAAAGTGCAAATAGGAATACTCTTCTCTGGAGGATCTTGAGAGGAGCTGTAGGATTCTGTAAGGAATGGAACTACTACTTGAGTGTTTCCCTTAGTTCCTAGAGTACCAGACTCTAGAAGAGGCTTGCGGTAATAAACGCAACGGCGATCCATGTAAATGCGGGCGTCAACATTGTCTAGGGCGTTTGCTACTCCATCCAAGACCTCGAAGAACTCATCATTGTAAACTTTCTCGGTTTCCGGGCAGACTCGATTCTCATGTGCAACTATGTTGACATCAGGATTCATACCTTTGATTACTTTTGCTGCTGTAGAAGACTTTGATCTTTGAACATCGGATGGTCTAAATAAGAACTGACGGTTTAGGTTGGATTTCTCAATAAAGTCCATGTCAGTGACTGTGATACAACCATTTTCTGCACCTACACCCATCATGGCAAAGTTTTTAAGCAATTCACAACCTATGGCTCCAGCTCCTACTACAAAATATTTTAAACTTCCGATCTTTGACTGGAATTTTTTGCCAAATACTGCTATCTGAGAGTCGTATCGTGTTCCTGCTGGACAACAATCTTCTTCGGTCAGTTCTGAACGATCTGCTGGTAGGCACTCGATTGCATCAAAGTATAGCCATTGGTAGATTGGATGGAATTTGCCGGAACAAGCTTTCATTACTTCCTGAGCAACGATTCCTCCAATAGTTGCATTCATTGGGTTCAAATCTCCAGCTGAGATTTTAGCGAAGGTTTCTAGCAACTCAGTATTTATCTCAACATCAAGGCCATAGTCTTTATTAACCTCTTTAGCAATGTTCAAAAATTCCTCAGCATCTTCTTTGTTCCATGGTCTCGGTAATTTTCCCTTAGCTGACTGATATCGATGCAGAGCTATAAATGCTAAGTGCAGTTGACCAGGATAATCAAATTTTCCAAAATCTGTGATGACAATCTCAGGCTTCTTCAAAGCTTCTTGAAGTGGTAGAAAATGTAAAATCTTTGGCATTTTCACCTGACTCACAGTACCACCACTAATATATTCAAGGTACTTGCTGGTATCTCCAATACTAAATGTGTACGGTCCAAGAACCTTTATCTTCTTAGGCTCACATCCATTTAGCTCTGTCATTCCTTGAACTTCTGAGAATGTAACGTAATCTCCATCCTCCATACCATGTCGTGTATCATCCAGACACGTCACTACTCCTTCACTGTCCTTAGATATGCTCGCAATCAGAGCAGTAACTGGTGGTTCTCCATTGGTATCCACAACCGTGAAAGAATTACCAAAATCACAAAAAACTTGGGAAAAGAGTCCCCTAGTATCTGCTATTATAAGAGCTATATCATTAGCATGAGTAATCTCAGAAATACGCAGTTGTTCCTCCAATGAAGTTTCGGTTAATACAACAACTTTAAATTTCTTGATATAACCGTCGGTTAGAGGTCCAGAGTGATGGCGAGTAGGTACATAGTTGTTGAGTTCTGACAAACGTTGGCAGCAGGCCGCAGCACGGTTCTTACCTATATCTGCCTCAGTAAGGTAGAACTGGGATCCAAGATCGGATATACGGCAAAGTGCATCATCGTGTAGGGTAACTGACTTGACTCCACCGAGGATGACGTTTTTGGCAATTTCAACGCCAAGACCACCAAGTCCTGAGATGAGGACGTCCGAGGACGCCATCCGGCGCATGGCGTCATGTCCGAGGACGTAAAGTTGCCTGGAGTAGAGTCCCTCGTCAATTTCAGCAGGTGCTCTGGAAGTAGAGCCGTTTTTCGCCATATCTCCGGTCGCCGCGGGTTCTTCGGCTCCTCCCGTGGTGGCAGCAACGCGTCGCTTCTTAGCTGGGGGGTCAACGGAGCTCTCCACCACCTCAGCACTAGACATCGGACTTTACGAAAGCCGTTTTATATCTGTCGATTGTTTTCCCCGTCTGCTGCACTGATAAGCTGCACACACTGACTCCCTCTTCCTAGTTTACTCTCTATCTCCCCGCAGGTTGCTCCACCAACGCGCCCCACGTCCTTACCTTCAGCCTACTTACAACCTTCCTCGAGGTTCTATGCACGCGCTCAACACACAACATGCACCACCGTCCATGCAAGAACGATTGAGAATGATTTTTCGTTCTTTCTGCTGTTCTGAGCCCGGCCCGTAATAGCGATACCGATGCCTTCTTGATAGGATTTTCTCGCTTCGGCTTGCTCGGGAAACCAGGTCGGTAGGGTAGAACGGTGAGTTCGTAACTACGACGTCCTCTGAACTGACTTCTCGAATATTCGATACTAAAAATTTTCTTTTGAATTTCGTGTGAATCCGATGAAATGTAGTTTTCAAAATGGGCCAATAGTGACTGGAGGTTATTGTTGAGAAGCAGCTACAGCAAGACGGGAACTCACAGAATAATGCGTTCTCTAAGACCATCTATTACGTTACAAGTGAAGTTCGCTGAGGATCTTTCTTAGGGTTTTCCGATTATTTCAAATCACGAACACTTAAATTTTCAATATTTACGAATATTTATTCCTTACCGCAAATAAAGACAATATATCAATGATAAACTTTATTTTCTCTAATCTCTTAACAAGCAAATATATCTAGACAAAAAAATTCGTTTTTTCTTTCTTCTTTGTCGATTTAGCTTTGTTAATCTTATATGCATAATGACATCGTCGCAATACGTATTGCCTTATGCTTTGTACAATAATCTACATTGTCCAAACGAAACGTAATTTTGTAATATTATAACTGACATTTGGAATAACAGTCGTGAAGAAAATTATTAATTTACATTTGCGCAAATACTACCTGGAGTGGTATTGTCAGCCACACTGTGAAATACTATGTCAACAAATATTATACATGCCGTTCATCATCACCCGTTTTATTATAATAGATTAATATTCTTTAATTCAACGTCAATGAGAGCTCAATATTAAAATATCTTACTCTACATTCATACATTATGAAAGGGTCCCTTTTCAACCAACAATCCACTTTTGCAGATAGGAAATTAAACAGATATTAAAAGATACCTAATAAAAAGAAAAGAAGAAATTACAAATTTGAGCCACACTTAATCAAAATGGCCTAACGTAGGCCAATTTAAATTTACAAATGCACAGCCCACTCAATGGAATTAAAAATGCGACTCATCATCATCAAGCGATACTAAACTACCAAAAGCACGATGTGCAGAACGATCGTCCTTCGCCCCAGTGACGTTATTCGAGGTATTCCTCATTCGACTTTTTCTTAAGGAAACATTGGTACCCTCGTGCGTCTCATCAGGTTCTGGTGAGGTGAAGGGTGACGGTGTCTGCGATACAGCCGGAAATGGCACGGTAGGTGCCAGAGATTCAGCCGTGTCCGGTGCGGAAGTTCGTCCCTCGACGAGAGGACCGCTTAGAACGGAGTCTGGTGTCCCGTTAAGAGAATGACCGAGTGGCAAAACAGGGCCGGTGAGTCCTTCAATGGTTCTTCTTGGATTCCTTGCGTCAGGGACGGTTGAAGTCCGACGTAATGTCGCCTTCCTATTTCTGAATGAGATCATCCATGTTATACATATATTGTTGGGTTAAATAGCGAATCTCTCCGTCAGTTTTCGTGGTTCGAGCTGCTCTATTGACTCTCATTTATCATCAATTCAGTGACTACATAATATATGGATTTAGTGCTGTTGATTATGGCCATTGACTAAAATTTACCTAGTGTTTCTACATCACTCCAGTAATATTCAGAGTCGTATATATCATAGCGTGGTGGTCATGTCTATAGCGCTTTCAGCCGAGATAGACACCCACCAGGAAGTGGCTATCGCTGGAAGTAAATCGGAAATAATCTACTATCTATACGATCCTCTTTTTTTCCTTTCGCTTTTTGTTCTTTTTGGATTTAGTTTGTTAAGTATCATGAGGAAATTTAGCTCATGATTATTCTTGTTTTTTTTTTTTTTGTTAATCTCAAGCGAATAAGCCGTGTGGATTTTCAGTGGTTGGGCCTTACTGATTAGCATCAACTGGAGATGATGTCTGATCAAGACTGTCAGAGGAACCGTTCCCGTTATCCCAGGAGTTGTTGCGACGATGTTGACTCTTATCCTTGTAGGCTTCCGCAATGTTGTTGGAGCTACCGACGATGCGTCGTTTATCCAGCTCCTTCTGCACCTCCTTTGGCATTCCTCGAACTAATTTTCTAAGAACTCCGACCCCAGGTGCATCCTGAAGTTAAAAATATTAAAATTATTAAATATTTCAATTCTATATAGTTAAATGTACATTTATGTCGTACTACCTTAGATGTGGTGAATGTTGGTTGACTGGAGTCGGTGTTAGGATTCGTCCAGACGTTCGTGGCACCTGGTGCGTCATCCCCATTGGCACTGTTCAACATTTCAGCGGAATAGGTTGGTCGAGCAGGAATAATTGGTGATCGGCAACATACACTGTAATCAATGTAGGTCCCATTTTTGCCCACCATGATAAAAAGACAACGAATTTCTACTTACGAGTTCACATCCTCGAGCTTCTTCAAGAGCCTCTCGTTCTCGCGACATACGAGTTCCTGATCTCTCATTACTTGTTCCCGAGTGGCGTATAACTCAGCATTCTCACGACGTAAAGCCTCATTTTCAGTTATATAAGAGCGCACCAATTTACTCAATTCAGGACCTTCCAACTCGGCCAGTTTATCCAAATCCACTGGTGGTGGCGATAGCGGCAGACGTTTTTCTCCTGTTTAGACAATTTTATGAAAATTCCAAGATCTCTGCCGATCTTATCTTTAATATATTTTTAAAACGATATCAACCTTTAGCTTCGTTTCGTGAGGCACTCTGACCATCGCCTAAATGAAGAGCAGCCCTTAAGTGATCATTTTCATTCTGCAGAGCATCCACTTCCCTCTTCAGACTGAGAATCAATGCTTCTCTTGGATCCTGTAAAAAGTTGGAGTGATCATAGGACGAGTACTTTTTCTATAGTAACAATAATAATAGTATAAATATTCTTAAAACCCACCATGACTACAATAGGCTTTGTACGAATCTTCTTTGCTCTTGCGGCATATCGCAAAGTATTGATAGTCTCACTGGCGTTTGAACGTGCCGGCGATATACACGCGATCTGAAGAAAAGAAATCGATCGTACAATTCCATTACGTGTTGATTATTTATTTTTTTTTTTTTTCTATAATTCTTTATAGTTCTAACCATAAGCGTAACTCCATTCCCTGCTAGGCTGTCCGCTAGAAGTTTCGTGAGCTTGCTATCCCGATACGGAATATGTCCGCTCTTGCGTTTTCCATCACTGAGCGAGGCGATGCAGTATCCTGTGACAGAGACATGATTAATAATAAAAATTTAAATTTAAATCAAGTTACCAACCGATCTTCACGATCTCGAAACTCGTTTATGACTGATAGCAAGTACAGAATGTGCGCATGACTTCAAAGGAGCACAAAGGATTCGTTTAATATGTTAGGTGTATTCCATTATGTGCTTATTGATTTCACGGCACGCATTTGTTATCACAAAGAAACGAATAGTCTGACGATTTGTTAAAGTCGCGATATCGATTCAGTTGATAATGATAACCGAACAAAGGATTTTCACACGAAGCACAGATAATCGAGGCAGGTGATGAAATTTATGGTTGCGAAATAATAGCGCAGTGGATGTTCGCGAAATTAGTTTTAAGGAATTCCACTTAATTGGAAGATGGATGCTTGACTATTAATATTGAAAACTAGGTTAACCACTGGGAACTTTGATCGAAGCTAAAATAAATAATAAAAGACAACGAGTCGATACGTACAGAATCTTGTGGGTCCCTTAATTATTTCAATAAATTCTACATCAGCCAATATATACTAATCGATATTCATTCAGACCCAGTGCACAATTTTCTTAGAAAGAGCTAGCCGCCCTACTAATTCGATTGTCTGTTTGAATAAATGATTCTATAGTTCCTTTGAAGTAATACATATTGACTAACCCAGGACCATTAAGCTTTTATTAATATTATTCGCCTCCTCCAGGGTCTTCCCTTCGCTTTGAGTTTTCTTGGTCATTTCGCTGCCTGCCAGATCGACGAAGTTGATCTTTCCTTGTTTGGAGATGAACACACCATTTTCCATCTGATATAAAAATTCATATGTATTTCTTTCATTAAAAAAAAACTAACTGTGAATTAAAATTGAAGAAAGTCGAAGTATAGATATATCTGTTATTTCTTTTCCTTTTTAATATTATTTATTTACCTGCTGCTCAGATGTAATGTGCACTGTGAGTATAGTGTGACTTCTGCTGGAATGGTCGTTCATATTGTGCGTGCCAACTGACCTATTCTTCATTCCTAAAGACAGCAGGTAAATGATTTATTAACATGAGAAAATCGTGCTGGTATTTGAAATAAAAAAAATTAGCAAGGATCTTATTAAGAATCGCTGATAATACTCAAACGAGATTATTGATCGTTTTACCTTCTTCTAGTACAGCTAGAAGGTCATCCAGTTCCTCACACTCGACCGTGAAGAGGTTCTCGACGAAGAAGCCACGGATTTTCTTGCTCCATCTAACCGCCAATGGCTTACGAGATGTTCCGGGATTCAGAAGGTCTATTACCTGGTGGCAAGGGAAATTTTTTAAGAATTTTTTAAGTGCTAATTCAGTCCTATCTTCTCTTCTTGAAGTAGTAATAGGCACCTTCTCGTTGTATATTTCCAGGAAGGAGGCCTTCAGGACGAAATTACATTCCTGGCGTTCCTGCAGGACTTTGAAAAGGTAGACGAACGAACGGAACACCAATCCATGATCCTCCGAATAAGGATTCATCCTGTTGAACTGTGAAACATAAATATTTTATTTAATTAGAACGCTTAGAAATGTGAAAAAAAAAGTATCTGAAGTTATCTTTGAAATTACTTTCAGAATTTTTTTACTAATTTATAACCTTTTGAAAAGCCCAAGGGATATTTTATCCAATATCGATTTTTACTTTAGAATACATAATTAGTGTACTAACTTAAGTATGCATGACGTCACGCACCATCGCCCAAAGGACAATAGGCTGCTTTTATTTTAAACATTTTTCTTAGCTACTTGTCAGCTGATAAACGTAATATATGAGTAATACCTAATCGATGTACAATCAATTGATTTTGCCTGAATAAATTAGATACAGTCGTTAACCCTTTCAGCACTGTGAACTCAAACATGCGTTCCGAAAAATCGTTCGCCATGGGCTATGAACCCATTCATGTGTTCTCACGCAATCAGTCCATTTGGGCTATGAAAGCATATATGCGATACCAATGATGCTTGTAAGCCTAGTCGCAGGACTCAGCGCCGAAAGGGTTAAAAGAAACAAAAATATTTATTTACAAGTAATCTCTCTATTAGAGTGCTCCTGTAGACAAATACCAAGTATCGATACAAGTAGTTCGAGTAATCGAAAATTAAATATAAAACGTACAGTATCATTAATTAGAATGGAGCTGTGATGGGAATGTGGAATAATGGTTTCTTGTTAATGGAACACGTCAATTAGACCTTACCCTGTAATTGAAGTCTCGTACGAAACAACTTTTTTTTTTAAGAACACTCAAATAATATGCGATTAGTATCGATTTTTATCGATATCTTTCGATAACGATTATAATGAATCTCTATTCGATTTAATGAACTATAATATATTTACCAATCCAGGGGGTCCTGTGAGCGTGTGCGTTTTTCCACTTCCGGTTTGTCCATAACAAAATACCGTACAGCTAAAACCCTCCACGGCCATTTCGATGAGCGGTTTGATTCCAGAATATTGAACAATATCTTCCTGCGTGGCGGCGGGTTCAAAAACGACATTGTACGAGAAAAGTTTAGCCTTTTTTTCGCCACTAGTTTGAAATCCATCGCACTGATAAACATTGATAGAATTAGTTAAAAGGTTTTACAGTGCTTTCTAAAAGTTCAACAGACATTTATTTTATTTAATAATCATTTCCTTTATACGGCCAATGCCATCTGGATACTCACGTATATCTGACCTGCGCCAGGAAATTGAACGGCTGTGTCGTCACCAGATTTAATTTCCTTATTGCTAAGCGGACGCACCCTGGAACCAAAATTCTTTTGTCAAATTTATCTTTAATTTACACTCATTTTTTTACTTTTCTACTAAAAATACTAAACCATACCTGACGACGACGTTTATATTGTCTTCCGGAAGTAGATGCTGCGAAGCGATCACTCTTTTATCTCCATCCTCCAGTCTTTCTATGCTGCCGGTTCTATTGGATTTAATTAATAAGACTATTAATTTAATGGCAAATAATAATATTTTGATAGGAATCTAAATTTGTTTTATCTTTAAATTATGTACTAATCGACTATGGTCTTGTACGACAAATAATTGTATAATACATGTACCACATAATTGCAATTATGATAATATCTTATAACCTATAAATTGACAGGTACTCTGTTATATTATTGATTCTCAGGATGTTAGACTCTTAATATTTATTAAGGAATTTTTTTATTTTTTTTTTTTTTTACGACAAATTTAGCTCGCGTCGTTTGATTCGTCGGAAGGTGAATGACAGGAACTGACACAAGGTTGCCGGGAAGTATTGATTTTTATTTTTATTCACAGGTGAATAAAGCCATCAAGGTTGCAACATAATTTCTACGGCATTTCTTACCGTCTTTCCATCACTTCGTCAAACGTCCATTGTTTTCCAAACCTCGACGAAGATAAAGCTAAATATTTAGGTTTGAGATATTTCTTGTCGAAGCAGATATTGTCAATTCGTATGTATAAATAACGATAAAACAGAGAAACCATCCGCTAATATGAAATATATATAAAATATATACATATATATATATATATATATATATATATATATATATATATACTGACACAAGGTTGCCGGGAAGTATTGATTTTTATTTTTATTCACAGGTGAATAAAGCCATCAAGGTTGCAACATAATTTCTACGGCATTTCTTACCGTCTTTCCATCACTTCGTCAAACGTCCATTGTTTTCCAAACCTCGACGAAGATAAAGCTAAATATTTAGGTTTGAGATATTTCTTGTCGAAGCAGATATTGTCAATTCGTATGTATAAATAACGATAAAACAGAGAAACCATCCGCTAATATGAAATATATATAAAATATATACATATATATATATATATACACACGTATACACACTATGGATACAAAATTTGATATAATTTCGTGTTTCATGTATAACATATCAGACACCAACATGCGTGTAAAGTAAATAACATTCGTGTAATAATAAAATAGATTAAGCGTCGCTTTTGACATCAAAATGACTGTGACGTACGTAATAATAAAACATTGGTTTGAGTAATCCATGAATTTTTTACCACTGAACCCAACTGTCTATATAGATGTAGACACATGACATAGAAAAGTTTAGCGATTCAAAATAACAATGAAGAAAATGAAATGAGAATTATTATTATTTCCGCAAGTAATATTCTCTCCAGATAATAAATAATAAAAGTATAATTAACATCGTGGCATAAATACGAGGAATCCGAGGTCATCCATCTCTAATTTTCTCGCTAACGTTCGACGAATTAGCAACGTGCTGTCATTCCATCCAATAAAACTGCAATTCATCATTTTACGGCTGAAAAATAAAAGGCAATCCCATTCGTGGAAGAACAAACTCGAAAACCTCACTGACACTGAAGTGCCATTGATATTTCTGCGAAATAAATAATTCAGCCTGGAATAGCTTTGTGCCATGGACATCCATAGATTCTTAGTTCACTAACAAGTTCGCCCGTCAAATCCATTCCGTAATCGCCTCTAATTTAATATTTAAGATGCGAGAAGTTCACGGTTATCGAGTGTCGAAGTAAAATCGCGTGTCTGACGATCACGTGCCGAACGCCAAGCGAGTGAATGCGGTACTAAAATTTGAATAGGCGTCAATAACCAGTTTCTTAAAATAAAAACGAATAAGTCTTTATCTCAAATGCAATATCTTGTTTATAGATTTACAAAAGTTCTGAACTTCAAAAAGAAAACTATGGTTAAGATTTTTTTTTTAAAAGCTCCTTACGTGCATCGTATCACGTTGTACCATAGCAAATTCTGCAACGGTGGACTGCTTTGTGATCTATGTGTACAAGTAATACATAATTAATAATTTAATCACTATAAGGGAATACAATTTTTATATGGAGGTTTTGTAATTACGTCCTTAAAAGCTAGGAATGGACAGCGACTGTCAGTGGGTACTACGTCTATATGCAATGCAAACGGCGGTTGATTATTATATTATCGATCGTGCTAGACACTCGGACAAGGTCTCGTAATCAATACTTATATCGAAGTACGTCGTCGCGTGTGTACACGCGTGTCCATTTATATAACGGTTAGACTGATGTCTGCAAACCTAAAGTATTGTTGTGAATAATCTTCTCTAATATGGTGTTTCTATCTGCTGTCCTAGATATTGCACACGGAATTCGCTTTTGTGCCTACCATAAGCCAATCTTGTTAGCTTCTACCTTTACATAGAATAAACTCCATTTCGTCTTACTGATCGATCTTTCTAGTAATCTGTTTCGTGGTTTACTTTATTAAGATTATTGCCTGTAAAATATTAAATATATATAATATATTGATATATGTAATTTTTTGATCAAATATTCTTACAGATATTCCATTACGCATGAATAACAATGTTATACAGTGGTATTGTAATCTAAGGATGCTATAGTCAGTTCGTAATAACAATTGGCAGGCTGTGGCCAAGTCTTATTTTTAATGCTGTACAACATGGTGGGAAAGTGTATCGTGTCACTTACGTACAATATACAGATGCCTGTACGTTTAAAACATTTTATTGTACAATTCTATTTGGAGAGCGACGTTCGGGTAAAACTGTGTGTAAAGGAAGCTGAGAATTTCATTGGATGGACAGTGTTATTTTTGCATTGGCTCGAGCACATCAGCCTCAGCCAGTACACGATAGACTGAAAATATTCTGAACGAAGGCTGATACATGTAAATAAATTGAAGTGTTAGTAAATTGAAAATTGGCAGACAATTTTTGTGCCACTGTATAATGCTTGTTAACATATCTCATAATATGTACCCATTACAATACTGGAACGGATGCTAGACTGCAGATGTAAAGTAAACGAAAAAAAAATAGAATAAAATATTAATTTTCACGTTCGACGCTCATTGACACAAAATGTGTGATATTTTTATAATAAAAAATCATGTCAAATTTTACTATCAAAATGATTATTGCTATATAAGATTTTTCTGTGAGTTTTGAATAATTTATATCAATGATTTATATGTAAGTGCAAAATCAACCAGTAGCCACTGTGATAACTCAATGCAAGTAATCGTTTCCGCGTTTCTCCATGTACTGGAGAATAACACTTGTACATTTAAACCTTCTGAGTATAGCAGAAAGTCGAGAGAAATTATTAGCTCATGATTCTTTGCCAGGTGCCTCATAAGTTTTATAAGTAATTAACAAAAGGAATTGCTATCCTACGATATAGAATTTCATCACCGTGAAAAAAAACGTTTGGCGCCTGTTCAATGTACGCTCAATATCCTTACTTGTAAATGACTTCTAAAGAACCTGGCGAACGAACCAAATTCGAAGGTTACTGTATTCTTGTGTGATGGCACTAAAAGTTTCTTTTCATGTACAACATAATGTCGAGAAATTAATCACGAGTAGTTCTTTCCTTTGCCATTATTATTTATCCGTTTTAGTGTCTACGTGGACGCAGGTGTGAATCTGTAACAGTTTTGGTAATAAACGGGAGCCGAGTTATGTATGTTACAGCAAACACGTAGATACCGTCGTAATTTGATACCAGCTTGAGTAATACTAATAATTGTCTTCATTAAATTGTACACCAATTTCACTGAAATTTTACCGATAAATTTGGCCATTTCATACAGTGAAAGAATGTTACGTCAATAATTCATATAATAACTAGGATTATTGATTATAGATATACAATCGTATCTTAACCATAATACTGTATCGTTCATTCGATAGCACGCTCAATCTATAGTTCATGGTTCAGTCGCTCAATATAATATTAATGAAAACAAAATTCAGTACTCACTCGCTTCCTCTGGAACCTGGCAAACTATTTTTTCCTTTCCCTTTCGACCCGAAACTGCTCTTTCCTGGGCTACTTCCTCGCGAACCAACTGATTGTTCTCCAGGACTATTTCCTCTTGATCTTCGACCCCTCTTCTGTTCCGGTTTAGAATCCTTCTTATGGCTCTCGCCTTTTGGCGGAGGTGAATCTTTCAGCAGCACCATCCGTCTGGGATCAGATCGTTTCCAGAATTACGGTCAATTTAAGTAAACCAATGAAATTCGTTAATCGAAATAGGTAACAAGACAGTGAAAGATATCCTGTATCATCTAAACCATCTTTCCAGAGTCTGACTACAGTTTCGCAGTATAAGTATACTATAATAAAAGATTCTCTTGTAATTAACAATTTTAAATTAATACACTCAGAGAGTAGCACTTGGAGCATGATTTTTTGTAATTAGTGCCCACAAGAGAAACAACAGAATAATTAAACCGCAAAATCCATTACCGTAAACAAGGAAAAATTAGGGGTATAAAATGAATTATTAGTCTGACTCAGAGGTTGTGAAAATTGATTGCGACATTGCTATATGATACTCACTTGCTCTAACTCTGTCTATTCAAAAATGCATCATTGTCACACCGTATTTTTTTTCACACTGTTCGCAACTAAATCGATCGCACCGAAGGAGGATAATGCGAGACAAAAAGCAAATATCTTTCATATACTCGAAATTCTCGTTTAGGGGTAGTAATACAAACTAAGGGAGTCACGGTGTGACTGTGACGGTTGCGCGCGCGGGACTGGCACAGGAGGTTAAATGGAAGTAGACTTGACCCTAGGAGGGTCGGTTGTTTCTCCTATACACGGTGGAGTCGATCGAAATCGTCCTGACATATTCACGACTGTTGTTCACCGCATTTTTTAAGCTTTGGTATGCTGTATCCCCTTCGGTTAAGCTATAGTTCGCCACAGTGCGGTCACCGTCCACGTGGGTCACCACTGCGCCACTGTGAACTTGACACCTCGCGTGTTACTGCTTTGCAAGTTTCTTTCAACTTCCGCACGTTGATCATTATACCACCATCTGTATAAATAATAAAAATTAATGATGTATACAGACAGTGTAATAGTTTTCAACCAAAATTTTCGAAGTTACCATATACATATATTTATATCTATAAGTTTCCCTCAACCCCCGCATTTTGTCCATATACCACCATCTGCATAAATAATAAAACCTCGTGATGTATATAGACGGTATTTACGAGGTTACCATTTACCATTTGTCATGGTAAAAATATGGGCAACAGCGGAGTATTAAAAGTATACCGACCTGGTGGTATTTCACGTGTTTCTCTGAGGTCTACAACAGCGAAGAGGCTGCCGAACATTATCATTCTGGTAAAAATAGTGCAACTCCCATCAGCATAAGATACGTTTCAGTCGAGTATTTCTTCTGTAGGAACCATGACACTATTTTTGAAAACTCCATTTCAATATTTAATGAGCAGCCGCATAGTGGTTCGTTATATCCTGTTGATTGATCGATTATCTTTGATCCTTCTTGCATGATATTAGCTGACACTAAGGACAGCAATATGCGAAATAATAAATGGTGACATATAGATAGATAGTGGTGATGGATGATTGTCAGAGAATTGAGTATTCTAATAAAAAATATAAAGAATTAATAAAATATGCTATAAATTCGTTATTTGAATGATAATTGCTAATTTAATGACTAATTCAGTGATCGATGATAATTATTACAATATGCAGAAAATAGAAGGACGTTCTTAAAAGTCATTATTAATCTATTATTAACTACAGTATAATAAGCAGTAGCTGCTGCTACGAGAAAGATCACATTGGCGCAGCACACTGACATTATATACGTTTATAAACATTGATGAAAGCGAAAAGAGAATCGTAAAGATAATAGGTACCACTCCTTTAGCGCATTTAAAGTCAAGGGAATTTCTTTATGAGAGATACCTTAAAATCTGGGATATAAATAGTAACCACTTAAGTTGAAGACGAGCACCACAAACAAGTTCCATAGTGATGTCACAATACGACATCACACTGACACCGTCTCCATTTTTCTATTGTTATCAAGAATCTTCCTTGGCAAATGGTGTATTCATTTCATATATTTATCCGCGATAAATCTACTAAAATTGTATGACAATACATATGTATTGGTATATCTAGATAAAATGACAACATTATTTTCATCCTAGAAAGAGCTGTACACTGTGCTCCATTAAAATTTCAGAACTCCTTAGTTTAATAATTCGTACCAATTTCAGTCTGGTACTATTAGCACTATTTTTTTGTTTCATGTCCGTCGATTTATTGATGACGATACAAGTGTTAAGATTAAGATAAAAAAGAGACGGTATCATAAAACCCATTACTCCAAGAATATGTCGTTTCAGCAGTCATACATTTTTTTCTTATCAAATGATGCACCAGGGCTATTTGTTTGGTCTGAAAAATATATATGAAATGCATCGTCATTATGGACTTACTGGAAAGCACTAGACAGTATAACCTATGGCTATAGGTTATACATGTATGTAAGTATACCGCAGCGAAAGTGGCATTCGTATCCAGCGGTATCTCGTTCCGTTAAAACCATACGAATGAGAGCTATGGGGTCACCATTAAATATCAAGATTATTGTACAGAAACGATCGCCATAATATAATAAAATGTATAAATATAAATTCTATACCGATCTTCTGTCTTCCTCGTCGTCATAGAGAACGTCCATACTCATGAAGTTCAATCGTTCTCTCGTCAGATGATCGATAAGTTATTGTACGCCGGGGATGCACATTTTGGCTTCCTCAACGCAGTAGGGGGGATCATAAGTTCTTGCCCTCTTTATAAGTAAAATTAATATACATACGTTTCGTACTGTAGACTGAAGGTTGAGTAGACTAATAGAAATGTGTGATTCCAAAGTAGTGTACCAATAGTGTCCCTTTACTGTAAATGCATGTCAAATTTCTTTCGAAAGTACCACGAGCATACTTGTTAAAATTTTTTCAGAGGCATTATTATAAGCACAAATATATAAACCTAAAACTGCTAGATCCTCAGTGTCTTATTCCTGATTAGTCCAGCTACAGAGTAAAAACAAAGGTTTTTTTTGAGAGAAGTAAAATTTGAATAAATAAATCCTGCTACTATGCCCGTGACTTTATTTTATAATAAATCTGTATTAGAAATATATATGCATTTAGGCTCAAAATGATGCATCTGTTTCTTGTGGTAAGTATCAGTAACCTCAAATTACCATCTATGCGTGTCATTAACACCCGATACGGAACTAAACAAACAGAATCAACAGGAGTATAAGTATGTATGGTAAATCATACTGGTTTTCTGGATGCATAATACTCGAACATTCCAGAAGGGATTCTCTTTGGTCGATCGAGGTAGTTTCACTCGACGTCTCAAATGTAAGACAGAAGTAGGGACGGCCCTGAGCCGAGGACAGGTTTCGGGTTTGCCTGAGAGAGGCAAAAGGAACCAACATGAGTTCTGCACTGCTCGTGAGTCGTTCGTTCTATTCACTAAACGTGAGCGTGCACGCATACGTAGGTTGCTCCGGCTTCGCCTTCTCCTCCAGTTCCTAAACCTCGTCCTCTTCCTCGTACGCCACCTCGTGCTGCAACGTTGGGCCTCTACGGCCTCCTCCTCTTCCTCCTCCCTCAACTACTCACCTCTCCGCCATCTCTCCTTCCTCGCCGGCTTCTACGAGTCCCGGCAGTTTCGTATGCTACATCGGCGCGCACCGGGCACACTAGCCGATCTTTTTCGCGTTCACCATCATCACCACGTTTTGCTCTCCGTTCACTAAGAAGTCACTCGTTTCGTCACTTAATAACCTCAAACTAGAAGCCACTGGACTTTCTCGTGAGGACTTTATCCGATAGCCGGGTGATTCCCTATTTCAAATAACGGGAAGGTTGCTTGATGTCGTCAGTGAACCTTATATCGTGTGTTCTAACACCAAGTGTAAAAGTTTTTAATTGCATTATCTGAACGTATTTTTGTATCAGTGCACGCTTACCGAATGGGTCGAAGATTGCAGTGATTATACTTGTGAGCATTATTGAAGACAGTGGATCTGGAACAAAAGGAAACTAGACGTCAAAGGGATTACTTCCAAAACCGTAAGCCCCTTACGTGTATCTATTGTTGATATTTTTATTAAGTTTCAAGAACTGTCTTAAATTGAAGTTCTCGGTTGTTTCACTCAAATATTAAGCAAAGTCACGATGTTTCCTTTACGTTCTCTAATGGACTCAACGGAAAACATAATTTCTGCTTTATCACTATACCATCTGGAATTGATTGAGTCTCTCATATACATCGTATTCTCACTATGGCTTAAATTGCTGGCTTTTACTACAGGGCCGAATGGATTCTCGTCGCAAGGCATTGTTACGAGGGCCAGTAAGCATATCTAATAGTAGAAACAGCTGAAACTATATGACAAATGAGATTTTATCGAAGGTTCACCACTGAATCCATAGAACGTTCAACGATGAACTCACCTAATAGAACAATGGTCAATGGCACATGGGTTGATAAAATAGCCAATGTGTCATTGATCTAGTAAGGTCATACGAAGGCTATACCGCTAGGATGCAACCGGAATTTCATTATCTACATATATAATGCAATCCATTGACCTTTATCGACACGTGTTCAACACATTAACGAAGCACCATAAAGTATTAAAAAAATTAATTAATTTAATTAATTCGCATAAAGTGCCTAAATGTCTGGAGTTTCTATAAAGCCAACTCTCCATATACATCCTCTTATCTGACCATCTATCCATTCTCTTTGGAGAAATTGAATTGCTCCTGAGTGGATAATAAAACCAATATCGCCCCCGATAGGAGAGGTCAAAGTGTCCGAGAGAGTTTCGATCGTCAAACCGACTACGCAGCATAAACGAAAAAGAAAAGGTTGTAATGGCAAAGTGTGAAAGTTTCAAGTAAATTTTGTTCACTTAGATACAATAGACAGTTATGCGATTTACCATCCTCGCGCATTCCAAACGACAATTCGCTGAGTAAGGAAGAAAACAAGCACGTGTCTCCTAGTTCTACCGGTCATTAAATTTCATAATATCGCCAAAAATAATAAAATGTATGAAAATATATTCACGAGTATTGTATAATTCCGCTCCCTCGACTTTTTGAATCTTATTCCAGTTATATGCCAAAAGTCTCTCGGTGACATTTCACGCTCTGTGAATTACTCGTCTCGGCTAACGAACATGCGTACCGCCGTTCCTAGTGACAGAATTCAAACCAGTCCTTGTTCCTCGTACCGCATTTGTCTAATGCTATAAGAGTTTATATTATCCGTAAAGCATATACAAATTGCAAGTCAGTGATCTTCCTCGTAAGCGTTGAAAACATTTATTCTATGTCAAAATTTCCATAGTGGCGTCTGGTCGGTGCCTAGCCATAACAAACTTTTGTATAAGCTGCTTTGCGTCAGTTTGCGCAATCGCTCTTGCGCACCCGCGTACCGAGACGTATCCTCACGAGAATATTTATATCCCTGCGACAAACATACCGTTACGTGCTTTTAACCGCCAGGAGTCAAGAGGAGCTCGTTTAGAAAACCAGTTGAGATTTTACCGGCTTGTTACCGTGTCGGAGATTCGAAGAATGATATAATACACATATATATTGCTGGTATGACATTAATAAACCGCAATGGGGAACGTTGACTAAACTTAATAATCATCATAGATTCCAATGTCCAATAATGATCCATGGCGCTAACCTGTAAAAACGTTCACATTGCACGGTGAGTCCCGTTGACGAGAAATTCTATAGACGAAATCAGTACAGAATATAAATGCATGTAAGCCAATAGTGTGTGACGCATTCAACAAACGTCAACAATACTGATTTGCGTTTGTCGTAATGTACCGTCTGAAGTTATGGCTATTCCTTAAAGACGCTGTTTGATCTTGATTATATCTATGTTATTTATGTTTAGAATACCATAACGGTCATCATACCAGTTTACAAAGTTAAGAGGAAAGAACGGTACTTGGTGTAGTGATAATGGAGAATTATTCGGGCGTGCCACGAAATACCAAGGGTTACGAGAATACATGATGAAAGAAGGCTTTGATGATGTGGGCTTTGAGACAGAAAAGAATACAGTAAAACAGTATTATAGCAATGAATATACATACTGTGGAATATATTACTGTCAAGGTAGTGATACTGATATTTTTCTTCTTTTTCTTCCAACGGTATTGAGAGTTGGAAATCGACAGTACATAAAAATACCTCCTACTCATTGTAAGCGCGTAGGACTGATGAGAAAGTAGGAACATTTTAAACACAGTAAATAATTAAAATGAGTTCTTCGCGTTAGAAGTACTTTGCAATTTACTAATGGAGTTTGGGATAATTGAGTGTATATCAAAATTGCTGCCTATAACTGTTTCATATATCAACAACACGTGTATAAAGTCTAGTTTCTTCAGAGTGTGTTAACGATACGACGAAACTTCTTGAAATAATATTACACGAATCTTTTACACGCCTATAGTTATTCATACGTGTAATTGGAGAAAAAGTCTTTTTCTCTCTTTAAACGAGAAAGTTAATTATCCTAGTGAATCGCGAGTTACCCACGTGAAATTTCTCAGAGGAACGGTACTCCTCGTAGAGGCCGGAAATGTTACACAATGCACAATGCACTGCTTCCGTTATACGTGAATAAATATGCGGACATTAGGCGCCATACTGCAACCGGAAGTTTCAAGTTGTTTCTTAGCTTGAGGATTTTTTTTCTATAATTTTTTCTATTTACCAATTTATTATATAGCTATAATGCGAATACAACATTCTGTTATGTTAATAGTCACGATTCAAGCGTTTACCTATTTACGCTAATTATGTAGTATCTACGCATTGGAAACTCTTGTTAGTCCTGACAAAAGCATAAAATTGATCACTGCTAAAGCGTAACCAGACGTTATGGGTGTATATTGTATATTATTATTTTTCATTTTATGTGTCATCTTCATAACGATTGAACGATCGCCTTATATGTTAACAGATTGCACTGTTGAGGTTAGATTTTATGCTCGTCTTATCGGTCTGTCTAATCTCAATCAAGTTGCCGTTAACTATTTTCCACGGAGTTGTCGATAACCCTGAGTGCTTTTCCAATATCCACCAACCCTGCCAAAGCATAATCATGAAAAAATGGACACCTTATCACTATTCTTATATAGAAGTAATTATTATTAACTTGGACATTTGAACGCGTGCAGTGCGCCAGAGCAGTATAAGTTAATACAAGGAATATTACTTAAGGTAAGGACCCTACTTATAGTATCAATAAAAACACCATAATTACGTACAAAAGCCATAACAATAATTTTGAGATTTAAAAGAATACAATTTTTCTACAGTTGCTGATAATCAATTAAAACCGTATAGTCAGAAGTAAATGGGTAACTTTGCGATAACTTGCACCACACATAGTCGTACATATAGTAGGTTAATCATCCGATAGAACCAAGTCTCAAAGAGCGTGCAACCCATTTCCGGAAACCGGTTGGCCTTTGTCGCTTCTGTCATGATACTTATTCTTTCTTTTTATTAAGGTAGATTTATACTATATATATGTATATATATATATACACCCCGTACGCGCATGCGCGTTGCCCTCAAATTTTACATCCAAGCCATACCAAGCGGCCACGTTGAAAACCAGTAATTTTGTAACCGTAAAGAATATTATTCCGATACCGATCGTCGGTCAAGCTAGAACGCTTCTCTATTTGGTTCGTTCTTCGCGTGACCCGCATTGTAAGTATAACTAATGATTTTTGTATCTCAGAAAAAAAAAATACTAGCAGACAAAAAAAAATTCTTCAACCGTCACGTAAGAGGGACTGTTTTCTTCAGCCACCGACAGAGCTCGTCTGTTCGTCCTTTCACTACGAAATAATTATGCGACGAATCGCGTGTGGGTATTGTGATCAGTGTGATTTATCTATTCTATTGTTTCGTCTGAAGAAAATACCTACGTGCCACGTCCATACGAAGAAGCTTCGATGGCTCAACATCGATTATCGCTTATCCTATTTAGTAAAGAGGAAAACACTCATAAGAATCACGCGGTACAAGCAGCCATCGAGTACAATGAGATTGTCAAAATAAACCGAGCATCCTGGATTTTCACAATCGTGGTCTCTCAATGGGAAAAAAAAAAAAAAAAAAAAACAGGAGGAAGAAAAAGGAAAGTATAAGAAGTTCCTGAGTCATCGATGACCTCGCTGTGATTCATACTGAGAATATGTATGATCCTGATTTTAATATGAAAAATGCAGGCAATGGACAAACCCATGAATATTTTCTTTAACTGGTCATACTTACAATGCTCGCCCAAGACAAGCTGACGTCGACCCAAGAAAATTAAGGGCTGATATTCATCCGACTAATTTACATCGCATCCCGAACGCAGTGTTATCCAACCATCTTCTGGTGAAAACGTCGAATAATTATTTCACGACCCTGCGGGACCGCGAGCTTTCACGCTTGGTCTCTGAGGGTACTTGCACAATTTTAGCAACAACGGCCGTATCGTAACTTGCGTAACGGCACACGAGAGCGCGCGTCAAGCTTATCGTACCGAGCGAGTCCATTTGAAATTCTATGGCTGATGATATTCGTCATACTTATAACGATTTAATGTTGCATTCGTGACCGAGTAAACCTGAGAACAGTTAATTACATAAAAATCAAATATGCACGTGCCTAATGAAAAAGTTACGTTATTAAAAAAAAAAAATATTACACGCTTACGTATTTACCTATTTATATACCGTCTTCATACGATAACTAGTTAGCCATGAAATTTTTTAAAGAATACACATTTCCCATATCAATTCATCTGATGTTCCAATAATCGTCTACTGGCTTCGTTCTGGTATTCAGTGGCCGTTTACACGCGAACTTGGCAAACAATGAAGGATCACTCGTGTTGATTTTTTCGTCGATTTTTGTGCACGCGTTGTACGTTTGTATATACGTCATTTGTTGACACATACAAGAAACAAACGTGAATTAGTCATGGACTAAGGGGATTCACAAATACGCTAATGACTCAGTCATTC